CCGACTGTACACTCCACCTCCCTCTACTCCCCCACTTGACCAGATCTGGGCTAACATCTGATTTGAACCATAGGCCTATCAAATAAAAATGTTTTAAGCCTAATCTTAAAAGTAGACAAGGTGTCTGCCTCAAAGCTGGGAGCTGGTTCCACAGGAGAGGAGCCTGATAGCTAAGATGGCGGCGTGCACGGGTGCAGCGGCTCTTAGCTCTCCAGTTTGGTGCTCGTTTTTATTTCTATTTTTATTGTGTATATATGTTTGCAACACTGCCGTCTCTTACAGTCACCAGAACCTAATTGACCTAGGTTTTAAATACAGTTTGCATGTTTCTGGCGACAATCAGCGAATACACAACATCCTGGAGGAGATAGCGAGACCGCCGGGGTCATCGTGGATGGTCTGTCCGCCCAGCAAGCGCAGAAGGTGACGGAGGGAGAGAAAGCAGAAGAGGGGATGCCGGTCGGGCTCTGATACGCAAACAACCACACCGGCCAGCACTTCCAAGCCTTTTCCTGTCAAACGCCAGATCCATCACTGCGAATTGGAGCTACATATAGCAACCACGAGCGTTGCACGCAGTGTTGCCAGATCCAAAATCCCACAATATCGTACAGAGAGGCCTAAATTATCGTTTTTCAGTACAAATTATCGTACATTATAAATTTGATAATAACGTTCTATAAACGACTTCTCACTCCAATATAATAAAGGTGTTTTATATTGCCCTGTTTAAATAAACATCTTTAAAACCAGTAATATAATGCCTATAAACGTGCCACATTATATAACCTTACAGTTTCTCGCGAGAGTAGGCCCTATCGATGTGATTGGGCCATTTATTGTACAGATCCAAAGTCATTGTAATAGACACAATAGCATAAACCTGTAAGCACTGAGGTGAAATCTGACTTCAGAACAGTTTAAAATTATGTAATGGACTTGGGAAAGCCACAGCAAAAGACGGTGTTACTAGGTGCAATGTGAAATTATCGTACATTTGAGGATTTTTGAAACCATTGATCGTACATCGTACAGAGCCCAAAATTATGGTACAAATACGATAATTATCGTACATCTGGCAACACTGTTTGCACGTAACTGCAGCATTATTCTTATCACGGAGTCGTGGCTTCACCCGCTGATTCCCGACGCTGCAGTCGAGTTAGCAGGCCGCACGCTACACCGACACGACAGGAACAGCAACTCAGGCAAAAGCAGAGGAGGGGGGCTCTGCGTTTACGTGCATAATGAGTGGTGTTGTAACAGCAGCATCATTCATACACACTGTTCTCCTGATTTGGAGGTTCTGGCTGTTTCGTGCAGACCTTTTTACATTCCGAGGGAGTTTGCAGTGGTTATTGTGATTGCTGTCTAAATACCGCCGGATGCGAACGTGGGCACAGCTCTCAGCCTCTTGCTTAACACCATAAACAAACAACAGCTTGCCCACCCTGATGGGGTTTTTATTGTCGCCGGCGACTTTAACAAAGCGTGCCTAAAGTCTGTGCTTCCTAAATTTGGCCAGTTTGTGGACTTTGCCACAAGGGGTGAACACACTTTGGACCGGGTCTATTCAAACATAAGGCATGCTTTCAGAGCAACACCCCTCCCCCACCTGGCTGGATCTGACCACCTTAGTTAGCATTTCCCTCACCCCCACCTACACTCCTCTGAGGAGAAAAACAAAGCTCCAGACAAAGATAATAAAAACCTGGCCAGAAGGAGCCCTCTTTCAACTGCAGGACTGCTTCTCATCTACTGTATGGGATATATTCTCCAGCCACAACCTCCAGGAGTTCACGGACACTGAACTCTCGTACATCAGGAACTGTGTTGATAATGATTTATTAAAAGGATTTTAAAATGACAAAAAGCTCCAAATCTAAACGTACTTAAACACATTGTTAAAATGGCCAAGGGTTTACGTTTAAAACAGACATCGAATGCTCCCAAACATTCACAAAACAAAGTCCACTGACTTAAACACAAGTTTGGGAGCCAAGAGGTAACCAGCACTCTGGTCCCTCGTCTGTTAAAAACCTCTAAAAGCTCTTGAGCTTCACTAAGCTTAGAGAACTAAAAACCCATTTAAAAGCCATTAAAACACAAACAAATGGAGCACATGAGAGAACTGACACAGATCCAGTCTCTCCCTTCCTTCTTCCTGGCAGTTCTCCCTTTTATGCTGCTCAGGAGGTGATCAGCCCAAGTGAGTGCAGCTGTGCAGGTAGGAGGTGGAGGCAGCACTGATTGTCCTCTGCAGTGTCAGATTTCTGAGGCAAACAGCAACAGCCATAACACTTCCTCCCTTAAAAGAAAGAAAAAACAAATTAAAACACGTTCAACCACAATTTTTTTTCTTTCACCTTTGTCCTCCTTGTCTTTTATCACAAACACTCCCAGGTTTTTTGTCCAACAAGAATTCCCTCTAGCTAATTGAATGAGTCTAGCTGATCTCCAGCCCAGTCTTCATGGGGCGTAGAGATGGGCCGATTAAAGCTTGGTTTATGCTTGACGCATTCACTTTCCGTGCGGTGATGCGGCTCGCGGATGGAGCACGCTTCACAACTCGCAGCGTTTATGGTTCGTGCGGCTTGTCTCTGCGGTGAGCCAATATTCTCCCAAACTGTAGGGGGCAGCATGGAGCTCTACGGCATGCATCCAACACTACACCATAGTAGAAGTAGAAATTACTGTTTACAACATGGCATTTCAGCATTTTTAACAGCGTTCTCGTCTTTTCCGACAGTGCGAGCTATTTCTCTCCAAGAATTATTAACAACATGTTGATCACGGTGATGTCTGAGAGCTGAATCATACAAACGTCTGTGTTTACGAACCTCTGCCATACTAGTTCTTGCCGGTCCGCCATGTTTTTCTGTGTCCGTCCGTCCGCGTGGTTAGAAATTTTCTGAGGTGCGCGTCGCAGAAATTCTGGGCCGTGCGGAGGCGCGGTGGAGGGGCGTGGTTGTTAAAATGACGCAACTTTTCCGCGCGGAGCCGTGCGGACCTCGCGGACGCGTCAAGCATAGAGCCCATCCCTCCAAATCCCTGGGGTGCTCCCGAGATGGTGGAGTAAACCACCAACGCTAACCTCCATAACCCCAACTCTAGAAAAACAAAAACCAGAACGCATCCTAAAGAGGGTGCGCTCCTACAGCCTATAGGGAATTCACTCTGTTCACTTTAAAATTTAACAAGCACAACAGAATAAAACAAAAAGGACATACTCACAATACCTGAGAGGACACAGCTGATCACACTTCTTAAAATCCTATGAATAAAACCTGTCTGCAAAAAGCACATGCTATTAAAAGTCCTTCATGGGATGGTTGAAAAGCCCGGACGAGCCCCCATAGGATTATGCTTATTCTCCTCAATTAATGCTGAGAAATAAGCAGTTCTAGTTTGTCTAAGCTTATTTTTATAAAGCGCAAGACTATTTTTCCAGGATAGGTAGGCCTCCTCATGGTGCGTAGAGCGCCATGTTCTCTCCAATTTTCTAGAGTTTTGTTTTAAGGCTCGTAAATGAGAATTAAACAAGGGAGCCAACTTCCTGTCCCTAATTACCTTCTTTTTTAAAGGGGCAACATCATCTGTTGTGTCCTTGGGCAAGACACTTAACCCACGTTGCCTGCTGGTGGTGATCGGAGGGACCGGTGGCACCTGTGCTCGGCAGCCTCGCCTCTGTCAGTGCGCCCCAGGGCAGCTGTGGCCACATTGTAGCTCATCACCATCAGTGTGTGAATGGATGAATGATACACTGTGGTGTAAAGCGCTTTGGAGTCCTTACTCTGAGAGGCTCTATACAAGTGCGGGTCATTTATCATTTATCCCGTGTTTTTTTCCACAAGATTAATTTCCAGTTAGTTGCTCTTTGCTATTTGGCTATTTTGGATTTATTTGTCAACCACTCACTCCTTAGTTCGCTTGCTGCAGGTAAGAAAAAGTTTTAAATCATATGCTTGTTAGTTCTAATTTTGGTTTACAAAAGGCAATAGCATATATCTGCCCTCACAATGCCACATGGTAGCGCATGGTAGCGCATGGTAGCTTACCTACTGTAGTTTATTCGGACTGTTCAAGTAAAATCAAACAAACTAACTGGACTTTTCACTTGATTTAGAAAAATATCAATCTAATTTCAAGCAAGATGACTCTGTAACTATTCTATTGATATAACTACAAGCAGTGTATTTGTAGAATTAGCAGTCCAGCTACCGTTAGCCACTAGGTAGCCCCATTGCTAAGCGGTCATTACACGTGTTCTCACATGTCTGCTCGATCAGTAAACCTCTGGGCTAATGTTCTGCCCTAAACGTTATATGCGGCTCAGTGGTTTTTAATAATTAGGTAATGTTTATTGGTGTTTTAGCAAACCTTTTCACTGTGTCTGTCGACTGAGATTTATTGAGATCTTGTGTAGAGAGACGGCCATGTTTAGCTAAACATGAATGGAGCGTTAAGTAATTTGTGTTTGGGGCAGGGGGCGTGATCAGTTCATTAAGCCAATCAGTAAAAAGTTTCCTATATAAGGAACCCAGCAAGTTGCATCAAGTCACTGACTAGTGTCAGTCTTTACAGCAATCCTCATACTATGCAAGCATTTAGCGACAGTGGAGAGGAAAACTCCCTTTTAACAGGAAGAAACCTCCAGAGGATCCTGGCTCAGTATAAGCAGCCATCCACCACGACTCACTGGGTCTATGAATAACGTGGTGAAAATGTGAGTCAGAAAAATGAACTCCCATTTTTTTCTTATGGTACGCTAAATAACCCAAAATATTGCATTTAAATTATGACTCTTTGACTTTACAAATGGCACCCCATACAACTGAGCTGTCTATGGGTTGTGGCCAGACTATATATTTATGGCTTGCCAGGCTAGTAGAGACCCACAAAAGGATGAAAATGTGAGTTTGTGTATGAGTCCCCATAATAACTAAGATAAGTGCCCAGTGATTAATGGGTTTAGTTAAAATCACCACTGGAAGCCAAACTCTTCTGTAAGGTTTTATTGTGTTCTCTAACGTAGCACTTCACAGGACAGCAGCATGTGGGAACGACCATCGTATCACCAAACCAATGGTTTACATTGAAGCAGTAATGCTCTGAACATTAATTCTTATTTCTACTAGTGTGAATTATTTTAATCTATATCGTTTCAGTTGGTGTGATACCCAATCGGATCTTTTGAGCACACATCACAGACAACACGTCACGAGACATTTTTCCAGTATAAATGTGGAGATTTCTAATCGGACTGAAGGTTACAAACTGGATCACAAACATGAAACCTTAACAGGAAGTTTAAAACAAATTCCTCAAGTACATCCTACTCTACCGCATCACCTCGACACGCTAACATTTAAATATAGGTCAAAGGCCAAAACCTTGGAGTGGACATAGGAAACACATAGAACAGCTTAGATCACTATTAGCTCTCAGAATAAAGTTACAGCAAACACACACGGGATTCAAACGCATCACAAGGCGCAGGCATGAACCATTCAAATACATGTAAAGTTTTAGGTGTTTTTATCAGATCATTAAAGTATAAACGTAGAAATAACAGCAGCATGAGTTTCTCCACAACACTTTTACATGAAGAAGGAGCCGTGAATCAGCCTGAGTGCATTTCATAAACATTTAGTTCCAGTGTTTCCATGTAAACCACAGCAGACACGCTGCACCGCCATCGCTATCCAGGTAGCTGAACGAAAACAGGAGCCGTTAAAAAGAACTATGATTAAAATACCAACTCATGATGGAACTGGTCAGTAACTCTAAATAAAAACGCAAATCCAGGCCTGATCAGAGGAGTCGGTGAGGAGCCGGTCTCCTGACTGGGTTTGGTCAATGCTCCTCACAGGAACGGGGGATATTGGTTGAGTTTTCTCTGGTAAGCAGGAGTGGAGCGTTGAAAAGGCTGCACTCCCAGCTGCAGCTGCTGTTGCTGCTGCTGGTTGCTGTACTGTCCTGGGGTCGGTGCTCCGAGGGCCAGGCTCCCGTTCTTCTGCAGCAGAGCCAGAGAGGAGTATGTGCCACTCGGCCTGCCATGGCGGGAAGAGCCGCCCTGCATCTGGTCCACGGCCTGGGACACAGAGGCCAGGGCAGCCGAGGCCGGATAAGCATACAGGTTCGGCGCAGAGCTGAAGAGGGTGCTCTCATGGAGGCGGTAAGATGAATGTGAGGAGACAGGCGGGGGGTAGGTGGGCTGTCGCCTCAGGGAGCTGCTGCTTCCTGATTGGATGTGGGAGGAAGGAATCACAGACTGCTGCACCTGAGAAGGCAATGACCCAGACACACCATCAGTGGAGTGTATCTTCTGTTAAAGACATGCAAAAGGGATGTTCTTACTTTTCAAAACATGTTTAAATGATTCCAACAGCTCCCCCTGCTGTTTAAGCTCTTACCTGACTCAGGTTGAGAGGCTGAGATTTGCTGGAAGCGGCCCGTTGGTGGCGATCAGTGGTGGATTCTCCTGACTGACTCAATGACTGAGTGGACGCCTTCTTGGACTTTGCAGAGCTGCTCATAATTTGATCTGGCAGTGCTGCAGACATGACAGAGAGATCAAGTGTTGAAAAGGCTATAATAACATAAGAACGAATAAATTCTATTAAACAGTGTAAATGTGGATGTGAGCAGAGCAGAGAACCTGGATCTGGAACCACTGCTGCCCTGTGGGCTGAGTTATCAATAGGCTGAACTTTCACACAGGGCACGATGACGGCCAGAGCCTTGGTGGGCTGGGAGGTTTTGGGGCTCAGGGGGCTGCTGGTGGACGAGTCAGAGTCGTGAGAGTCATGAACCGTCACGCAGCTGATCACGTTGGTTCTCTGACTCGTTCCGGAGCTTCAGAAGGAAATCAGATGATGTCATGCCATAATTATAATACAAGGTTCTGACAATCTGATCAGGGTAAGTTGTCATGGTGACAGAACCAGGTAGACCTAAAACCATGTGATGAACCTGAGGCCACCACTCCAGACTAGGCTCTGGTCTATGAAGGTGGTGAAAGGTGACAGAAGATCTCACCAGGCGACTGAGACCTTGGCTTCGTCCTCCTCCTCCGAGTCGCTGTGGATGGTGATGATACTGACAGCAGGACTTGGTGTGTCGGAGATGATGATTGGCTGAGACTGGTCACCAGGAAAAGACGTGTTCTGAACCACGGTGGAGACAGGATGCACTGATGATGCCAGCCTGTGGGGGAGCGGTGAAAAGGTGAGTCTCGTTTAACATATTTCAAAATGAGAAAATGATATAACGCCTCCCGTGGGAATGGGGGGCTACCTGGCTCTGCTGTCAGCATGGCGCGCCTTCGACCTTTTGCCCTGTTGGGATCTTGCATGAGCCACCCCCGAGCTGTGATTCTGCGTGGCTGTGTGACTGCTGACACCAGAGTCCTGCTGGCTGATGCTGTCATACTGATTGCCATGGCGACCCCTGAGGTAAAGAGGTACCAAACAGAGGTGATTAGAAATCTTGTAACCTTTAAACCCAGCGGAGTCTGAGCAGCCACTAGTTAAAACCAGTAAGTACTCAATGGCTACAAAAGTTCTAATGTTATTTATTTAAAAATACAAATAAATAAAACTGTCTCCCTGGGCTGCCACTTTACCGTGGTGGAGGGGTTTGAGTGTCTCAATGATCCTAGGAGCTATGTTGTCTGAGGCTTTATGCCTCTGGTAGGGTCACCCATGGCAAACAGGTCCTAGGTGAGGGATCAGACAAAGAGCAGCCCAAAGACCTCTTATGATGAATTATATAAATGGAAACCGTGTTCCCTCGCCCAGACGTGGGTCACCGGGGCCCCCCTCTGGAGCCAGGCCTGGAGGTGGGGCATGTTGGCGAGCGCCTGGTGGCCGGGCTTTCACCCATGGAGCCCGGCCGGGCACAGCCCGAAGAGGAAATGTGGGTCCCCCTTCCCATGGGCTCACCACTCGTGGGAGGGGCCAAAGGGGTCAGGTGCAGTGTGTGATGGGTGGTAGTCGAGGGCGGGGACCTTGGCGGTCTGATCCTTCGCTACAGAAGCTGGCTCTTGGCACATGGAATGTCATCTCTCTGATGGTGAAGGAGCCTGAGTTGGTGTGTGAGGTTGAGAGGTTCCGACTAGATATAGTCGGACTCACCTCAACGCATGGCTCTGGCTCTGGAACCAGTTTCACTGAGAGGGGTTGGACTTTCTACCACTCTGGAGTTGCTCCCACTGAGAGGTGCTGAGCAGGGGTGGGCGTACTAGTCACCCCCCATCTTGGTGCCTGTACGTTGGGGTTTACCCCAGTGAATCAGAGGGTAGCTTCCCTCTGCCTACGTGCGGGGGGATGGGTTCTGACTGTGGTCTGTGCTTATGCACCAAACTACAGTTCAGACTACCCACCCTTTTTGGAGACCTTGGAGGGGGTGCTGGAGAGCGCTCCTTCCGGTGACTCCCTCGTTCTGTTGGGGGACTTTAACGCTCACGTGGGCAACAACAGTGAGACCTGGAGAGGTGTGGTTGGGAGGAACGGCCCCCCTGATCTGAATTCGAGTGGTGTTTTGTTTTTGGACTTCTGTGCCAGTCATGGATTGTCCATAATGACACCATGTTCAGACATAAAGGTGTCCATATGTGCTCTTGGCAACAGGAGGATCTGCTGGGAACGTCTGACAGAGTCTCCTGTCAGAAGGAGCTTCAATTCCCACCTCTGACAGAACTTCCAAAATGTTCCGGGGGAGGCGGGGGACATAGAGTGTGAATGGACCCTGTTCCGTGCCTCTATTGTTGAGACTGCCGAGCAGAGCTGTGGTCGCAGGAGCCTGTCGTGGTGGCAACCCCTGAACCCGCTGGTGGACACTGGAGGTTTGGTGATGCTGTCAAGCTGAAGAAAGAGTCCTATCAGGTCCTTTTTGGCCTGTGGGACTCCAAAGGCAGCTGACGGGTACCAGCAGTCCAAGCGGAACGCGACTCAGGTGGTCGCCGAAGCAAAAACCCGGGCATGGGAAGAGTTCGGTGAGACCATGGAGCAAGACTCCCGTTCGGCTTCGAGGAGATTCTGGTCCACCATCCGGCCCCTCAGGGGGGCAGAAAGCGGTGCGCTACCAACACTATCTATAGTGGGGACGGTGTGCTGCTGACCTCTACTCAGGACGTTGTGGATTGGTGGGCAGAATACTTCGAAGACCTCCTCAATCCCACTGACGCGTTTTCCAGTGGGGAAGCAGAGTCTGGGGACTTTGAGTTGGCCCCTCAAATCTCTGGTGCTGAGGTCACTGAGGTGGTTAAAAAGCTCCTCTGTGGCAAGGCTCCAGGGGTGGATGAGATCCTCCCGGAGTTCCTTATGGCTCTGGATGTTGTGGGGCTGCGTTGGCTGACGCGGCTCTGCAATATCGCGTGGACATCAGGGACAGTCCCACTGGACTGGCAGACCGGGGCGGTGGTTCCCTTGTTTAAAAAGGGGGACCGCAGGGTGTGTTCCAACTACAGGGGGATCACACTCCTGAGCCTTCCTGGTAAGGTCTATTCAGAGGTTCTGGAGAGGAGGGTCCGTCGGATTGTTGAACCTCAGATTCAGGAGGAGCAATGTGTTTTCGCCCTGGCCGTGGAACACTGGACCAGCTATATACCCTTAGGGGGGTTCTAGAGGGTGCGTGGGAATTTGCCCAACCAGTCTACATGTGTTTTGTGGATTTGGAGAAGGCGTTTGGTCACGTCCCTCGGGGGGCCCTGTGGGGGGTACTCCGGGAGTATGGGGTACCAGGCCCTCTGATACAGGCTGTTAGGTCCCTGTATGACCGGTGTTAGAGCTTGGTCTGCATTGCCGGCAGTAAGTCGGACTCGTTCCCAGTGAGAGTTGGACTCTGCCAAGGCTGCCCTTTGTCACATATTCTGTTCATAACCTTTATGGACAGGATTTCTAGGCGCAGCCAAGGTGTGGAGGGCATCTGTTTTGGTGACCTGAGGATCAGGTCTCTGCTTTTTGCAGATGATGTGGTCCTGTTGGCTTCATCAGAATGTGATCTTCAGCTTTCGCTGGAGCGGTTCGCAGCCGAGTGTGAAGCAGCTGGGATGAGAATCAGCTCCTCTAAATCTGAGACCATGGTCTTAACTCGGAAAAGGGTAGAATTTCTTCTCTGGGTCAGGGATGAGGTCCTGCCCCAAGTGGACGAGTTTAAGTATCTCGGGGTCTTGTTCACGAGTGAGGGAAAGCTGTAGCGTGAGATCGATAGGCGGATTGGTGCTGCATCTGCAGTGATGCGGGCGTTGTACCGGTCTGTCATGGTGAAGAGAGAGCTGAGTCAGAAGGCGAAGCTCTCGATTTACCGGTCGATCTACATTCCTACACTCACCTATGGTCATGAGGTTTGGGGGTAGTGACCAAAAGAACGAGATCGCGGACACAAGCGGCCAAAATGAGTTTTCTCCAAAGAGTGGCTGGGCTCTCCCTTAGAGATAGGGTGAGAAGCTCGGTCATCCGGGAGGGGCTAGGAGTAGACCCGTTGCTCCTCCACATCGAGAGGAGCCAGTTGAGGTGGCTTGGGCATCTGGTCAAGATGCCTCCTGGATGCCTCCCTGGCGAGGTTTTCCGGAAACGTCCAACAGGGAGGAGGCCTAAAGGTAGACCCAGGACACGGTGGAGGGACTATGTCTCACACCTGGCCAGAGAATGCCTTGAGATTCCCCCGGAGGAGCTGGCCCAAGTGGCTGGGGAGAGGGAAGTCTGGGCCTCTCACCTTAGGCTACTGCCCCCATGACCCAACTCCGGATAAGTGGATAAAAGTGGATGGATGGACAAAAATATTGTAATTGCTTTAGGTTTTACTTTTTCAACCATACATTAAACACTTGATAATTAGAAAGAATCTAAATGCATCAAACATCCTGTGATTGTGGGACTCTTAGGGCCGAAACAGAGTCCTGCCGGGCCGGACCCACCTCCACGCAGAAGCTTGTTGACTGTCGGACACCGGCACGTCCATCGGTGAGTCTGGTACAATGGCCTGGCAAGGGTTCTGGATGGGCATGCCCGGCATCTGTTGCCATGTGGACGGGATGAGGATCTGCTGTGTTCCTGCTGGCCAGCCTGGCTGCACACAAACACACAACAGCCATAAAAAACTAAAACAAGTAAGTGTCAACATCAAAGGGAGATGCGGCAACCACAGTGGACCAACAAAGAACCAGGGTTCTGATTTTTATGGTTTTATGTTAATAAATTTGCAACAACTTCAAAGACACTTTTTTTTCACATTATCATTATGGGATGTTGTGTGTTGAATTTTATGGGCAAAATGAATTTAATCCATTTAGAAATGAGGCTGTAACATAAACAAAAAAGTGGAATAAGTGAAGCGCTATGACTACTTTCCGGAAGCACTGTGAATTATTTTGATAGTTTCACTAAAATCCATCCATAGGTTTGTGAGATAAGTTTCTAGCAAACAACATATTACAGGCAAAAACATTACAGTCCACCTAAAACAATCTCCTGATTCTCAGATGAGCTGGCCATTAACTGGGTCCTACCTGAGCCAGCATACTGGGCTGGATGTGAAGAGATTGGGAGGACTGGTTCTGAGCCACTAAAGGTACTGAGTTGTCCATTCTTACTGGATAACCAGATGGTTTGTTGGTGTTCTGAAGACCTGAGTAAAAAACAAAACAAAGTCAGAACAAAACGAGCATGTTTACGGTGGTTGTTATGGTGTGGTTCCTGACTGAGTTACCCTGGATGGTCGGAGGACAAACGATGAGTGTTTGCTGGAATGGTTCAGTCTGCGCACAGAGCTGGGCCGGTCTGGTTTGCAGAGGAACGCCCTGCTGGGCAAGGCCAGGAATGTTGATGGTGGCCTGCTGGTAGAGGCCCGGCTGGTAGTTCAGTAGTGGGACGTTACTGCTTAGGGACAGGGACTGCCCTCCAGCAGACGTCATCTAAGCAACAACACAGAAGATGAATGAGATCACAAACACCATCATCCACACACACATCTACTGGGCCAGACCAGACCTGATTGTGCTGGTTCAGCTGGCTGCTGAACGTGACCGTTAGGTTGGTAGCTGCACTCGGAGTGCTGTTGCTAGGAAACATGTTTTTTCCATTCTCAAAGGCGCTGCATCTGCGTTTGCATATATCCATGTTTTGGAAGCAAGACTTGACGCTGTTAAATTCAAAGAAAAAGAAAAGAATATCAGACAGGCACGCAGCTGGAAACCTGGAGCTGTACAGCTAGACCGTTTTATCAGTGAACAATCAGATTAGCCTCTGGCGTTACTGTGAGCTGTGAGGGAAGTGAAGCAGGTGTGTCATGGTAACAAAAGGGTGGTTCAGCGTCTTCATGGGCATGATCCGCTTATCAGCGTCGAGCGTCAGCATCTTCTTCAGCAGGTCTATGAACTCCCGTCTGTCAGCTTTCTCCGCCAGGATGTCGGTGCCCTCCAGGTTAGTCATGTTCACCTGCAGGTAGGTCAGAGTTCATCAGACGTCCCACAGCAGAGCAATACAACTCAAAGATCACTGGCATCAAGAAATATTCTATTTCATCCACACCCTTGAAAAAACACATTCTGTTGATATTAGCTCCATGTCTGACTACTACAGCAGCTGTTCTCTGCTTTTATAGCAGCACTGTCTGGATAACAGTGTTGTGACATCTTAAAATCAAGTTATTCTGAAATATACCTGCATCATATCATCCAGACAGTTGAAGATGTATTTTCTTGCTTCCTTTGACTTGATGCCCATCTCTGCCTCATGTTCTGCGGGTGTCTGCAGAGAAATAAAGCCCCATTATAATCTGTGCATAAAGCTAAATTCATTCATTCACTTCCCAAACTCATGTGTCACCTACCTTGAGTCTCCAGAGTGGGTAGCTTGAGTCGGGGCCTCTGTTGAAAAAGCGGCTTGTTTTGGTTCCTGCACTTAGGAGGTACTCTGCTGGGAGGCCCTGGGTCTGGGAAATGTACCGAATCTGCAGAGTAATTAGTGCATGAAAATGTCGAAGATAAAATTTTTATAAGTAAAACTGGAGTCACTGATGTAAAATATTATTATTACTCGTGAATTTGTTTGCTGGATTTACTTTTATTCATCATAGAAATCGACTTTTGTACCTTCTAAAAGAAAAAGATGGAAGAGCACTGAACGACATCTAGATGCACATTTTAGCAGAAGTTCTTTAATGGTGTAAAACAGTCATTTCCACTTGTTTTCAGTTTTTGTGCTAGTTGCTGCCAGCTAGCACATCCCTGGAACAACATCTTGCTTCATTGTGGAGTCCCACATGGATGTATACTCAGTCCTTTACTTCTTCATTTTTTGACAGCCAAATTCAACAAAAAACAGCTCAATGAGAGTACCGGTGGTTCAACAGAGGTGGAATTCTGTAACACTGATGACAAAACATCAAAGCTCACCTGCTCCTGACATCAGGAGACAGATACAATTCCATAGAATCAAGAACCAGCAAGTACAAAAGCAATAAAACTGCTAAACTTTTAATGATGTTCAACTTATCTTTTGCACAAACCCAAAATGAAAAAAAAACAATATTATTTGAATGCATTTTTTAAGTTGACAAATTGATCAATAAAAAGAAAACTTGAGCATTATCTAAAAGAAAAGTAAAACAGGAGTATCAAATGTATAGTCCCCAAAATGTGTACCCATTTATGATTGTGTTCAACTATAACTTTGTGTGCACCATTTGTATCAGACCCATTCAGACCTGCAGTTTCAATTCAAACTCATGGGATATTAAAGACAACCCAGAATTGTCAAACTCTGAAGTCTCTGCTGATGAAAATCTTATCAAAACTAGATTTCCTGTGAGTCAGAGTTTGGCATTTATTGATCAAAAATTCAGTGAATAAAATAATAAATAAAAGTACAAATACTATAGGGTTTAAAGATAGAATTACAATATACGTGTGTTAAATCTGGTCTGAGTACAGAAGCCAACAAATTCTTGACTGTAAGTTCAATTCAGTTTATTTGTAAAGCGCCAAATCCCAACAAGAGTCGTCTCAAGGCACTTCACACAGTAAACATTCCAATACAGGTCAGTTCATTAAGCCAATCAGTAAAAAGTTTGGTTGCATGAAGTCACTGACTAGTGTCAGAGTCTTTACAGCAATCCTCATACTAAGCAAGCATTTAGCGACAGTGGAGAGGAAAACTCCCTTTTAACAGGAAGAAACCTCCAGAGGATCTTGGCTCAGCATAAGCAGCCATCCTCCATGACTCACTGGGGATGGAGAAGACAGAGCACACACACACGCACGCACGCACGCACGCACGCACACACACACACACACACACACACACACACACACACACACACAGAACATATATACCAAGTAGTGTTTCCACTACTAAAGCCTGATTTATGCTTCTCCGTCTGCGTCAGTGCGGAGACACGCAACGCCATTATCCGTCCTTGCGTAGGGCTCCGGCAGGCACGCAAGTACTTACGGAGTCGAGCCCACTTTTTTAAACATCCGTCGAACGAGACGGATTACGCAAGCTTGTGATTGGTCAGGACGCCGCTGTTGTTTACAGCGCCGCCATTGCAAAGAGAGCCGAGGATAACTAGCGGCAGACACGGAGCAGCTTGAAGAATACCTCGCGAAAAAACTCTAAAAACATGAACGTTTAATTCTCCCGTGACTGGAGGAGTGAAAAGATGCGCAGCAAGCGTTTTATTTGTGGACGGAAATGACAGGAAACGTGGGTTTAGAGGTGGCGAGCGCATGAAGCGGTGGGAGGATGAGAGACAAATATGTCCGTGTTAAAAGTCTCTTATATACACAAAAAACACAATATAAACACACGATCTTGGACCGATACATGACAGGATACCACAGAACAGCGCTACGCCCTCTGTTGTCCTGCCGGGCAATTGCTTTGCAACACTCTCCAGGAGACGGAGAAGTATGAGAGCAAAACGCTTCCGTCAATCCGTGCGTGTCTGTCCCTTGCGGAGCTGACGGAGAAGCATGAACCAGGCTTTAGTGTGTTGGAGGTGCAAATGACCTGATCGTACTCTGAGGCACCGGGATACAGAGGCCATCCCAGAAACAGCTCGGCAATGACACATCCCAGGGACCACATGTCGATCGCTTCACAGAAAGGAAGACCCAGAATGATCTCTGGAGCTCTGAAAGTGTGTCAGGGTACATGAAATTACTACGGGACTGAAACAGTTTTTAAGCTCATCATAAGTCTAGACCAGAATCCTCACCTGTAATACCGGGACTGTAGGTAGGTGGAGCAAACTGCTTTGGACACATGGCTAGCAGAGCCAAAATCAATCACCTTCACCCTGTAGGGTTGCCTCAGAGGGTCTACCAGCATGATGTTCTCTGGCTTCAGGTCGGCGTGGATCAGGTCCAGGCTCTTCAGTTTCATCAGCGCAGTGGCAACCTGCTGCAGGATGGGCCTGATGCACTTCAGCAGCAGAGGGCTGAACTTGCTGTGCTTCAGGAAGTCGTAAAGGTTCTGCTCCAGCATCTCAAACACAAGGCACGTGTGGTTCTTGTGCTGGAAACACTCGTACGAGCGGACGAAATTGAACTCATCAGCGTTCTCTGTGCTCAACCTGCTGAGGATGCTCACCTATGGATGAGAGGAATAAGAACGTTTTTAGGAGGGGATAAAATAAACAACAAGCATCTGGATGCTGTTAAGAGAATTTATGTCAATATTCCTCCAAAAATCATTTCACTTAAAAACATTTATTTTCCCTTGATTCACAATTCAGTTTTCTGTATCAGGTCGAACCAAAGATCATCCGACCTTCATTAGGTTCTACAGTTGTTCTTATTTTACCTCCAGAATAAAAAACTACAATTATACCATTTTATTGTTTAAACATCGAAACCTAGGTGTTATGATATTATGCTTATTCGTTTAGCAGATGCTTTTATCCAGAGTTGCCTACCACGCATGTTTTATATCTGTGAGGAAACCGTGCCTCTTGGGTCACTTCCCTGATCTCGGATCTACAGCAACATTTGGCCTGCAGAGTGACTTTTAAGGTCTGGTGTAACAGAATGAAATGACTGTTTTCCACCTAAAAGTCAGTTTCCCCCTCTCCTCTGACACAGAACTAGTCTGCATGAGATATGGCCTCAAGGTCTCATGCATTTGCTCTAAACTGCTTCCTTTCCAGCTCAAGAGAAGAATGAAGAAAGGACTCTCTCCTTTTAATAAATCAAAGAACTCTATTTTAATAAAGCTAATCAAACAAAGTGTTAGTCAATAAGAAGATGTGACCAATCTGTGAAATCAAAATATTAACTAATTCATTATAATCCTATAGAATATAATAAGTAATATAACTTTAAATGTTCCATTAGGACTGATCTCACGTAGTGTCATGAGACGACACGACACATTGCTTCACTGATCCAATCAGAATCTGCCAGATCTGACGGAGGCGGGGTTTTGGTGGTGTTTGGTAAATCTGTCATCTTTTCATTCGACCTTAAACCAAAACATCCGAAGTATAAAACTATGCCCACGTCATCTTTAACGCCAGTTCAAAGCGTTCTAGAGAAGTTGTCGGAGTGGCCAATCCGTAACTTTCCTCTTCAGCCGAAAGAACCAACGACAAGCTGGATAAAATCTGTTGCTGTTCCAACTGCTGCAACGGTTCCTTTCAGAATAAAAGCTGAACCATCGCGACCCAGGTTTGGGTCTCACTAAATGCCAACAAAACCGTCGTGACCCGGAAGTATCTCAAGACTGGTCTGGTCGGCAACCGCTGCTTTTCCTACCGGCTTCGGTCCCATAGAGGGTCAAGCTGGACCTCGACATTCCTGATCTAACGGGGACTTCCACCAGGGTATGTAGGCCGACGAAATGGCGTTGAATGTGTTTATGAATCTCCTAACCAAAGCTTAGAGCGAAGACATCACCTTCATTTCCCACCAGAACTAATCACTTCTTCAGATTTGCTGGTTCTGAGCAACATTCCACATCACACCATTCTCCGTCTCATCCACCTTAGTTACACCATACATGTAGTGTTAAAGTTAGTCTAGTTTAATTTGTTTAGTAATAAATTCTTTAAAATTTTAAAACTTGACTCTCTCCCTTCTGTTGTCTCTGAGTGAACACGAAGCTGTTATCTAATCCCTGCAATAAAAAGTTCCAATCTTCTGGTTAAAATAACCTCACAGATCCATAAGGTTGATTTCATATTTCCTATGGAATCCTACGCCTTATGGCTTATTAAATAACATGTCATTTAAATCATTACACTGGCAAAGCATCATATTCCATGTTTGTGAATAAACTGTCTCATCGTAGAGAAACTAAAGCATTTCAGCTGTTAACACTACTTCATTTATTTTTTTTTCAGCACAACATACCCACCTCAATTTGGCCTTGTCGAGCATAGGAGGGATGGTTCTTCAAGATTTTAATTGCTACTATCTCATTTGTGCCTCTCTTCCAGCATTTTGCCACCTGCCCGAATGTGCCGCGTCCCAGAAACTCCAGCACCTCGTAGCTGTTAGACATGGAGCACAGAATCTCGTGCTGGACCAGCTGATAGTCCCCCTCACTGTGGGAATTGCTGCTCTTAGTGGTGGAGGCAGAGTGTGCTATGGACCGAGCTGTAGTGGTTCCCCCTCCACCTCCGGTGCGGTTCGACACCACGGGGGCCGAGAGCTCCTCCAGGATCTGGACGCTGTCACTGCTGTCCACCTCCTCGCTCTTCCTCTTCAGGCTGTACTGCTTCGGGTAGAGCTCGCAGGGCTGTGAGGAGGACTCTGCATCCTTGATGCGCCGGCTAGAGGAAGTGGAGGAGGCAGAGGAAGTGGAGGAAGAAGGTGCATGGAGGGTCCCTGTGCTGTCTGCGGCTCGCACCACAGTTTGCTCTCTGGAGCCAGCCGTGGGAGGGTGCATCTGGTTGGAGTGGTACACTGGGTCAAAATTAGAGCCAGAGGTGGAGGATCCAGCTGCTTGGGAGGAGCTATGCTGATAGTAGCCGCTGTCCGCCAACTGATGGGACACATCCCAGGCAGGGTGCTCCACTTTGAGCCTTTTTGTGCGAGAGTAGGCACTGGAGGTTACAGAGGGGGAGGAGAACACCTGGAGCTGCGACGCCATGTCTGTGGGTGAGAGTAGGTGTGACTGACTGGGACTAAAAAGACCAATACGTTGGTAATTCTGTATGCATGACATTGCTAAGATGTAGGTTTCAGTTTAAATGTCAGCTTCTATTGTAAAACACTGATGAATATAGTTTCATAAACATACAGTGAAATGATACAATACCCTGCCAAAAAACAAGTTGCCACCAAAAAACGAAGGGTGACACACTCTAATATTTCATTGGACCACCGTTAGCTTTGATTAACACACACATTCACTGTAGCATTGCTTCAATAAGCTTCTGCAACGTCACCAGATTTATTTCCATCCAGTGTTGCATTAATGTCTCACCAAGATCTTGCATTGATGATGGTAGAGTCTGACAACTGCACACAGCTTTCTCCAGCACACCCCAAAGATTCTCACTGGTCTGGACTCTGTGGTGGCCAATCCATGTGTGAAAATGATGTCTCTTGCTCCCTGAACCACTCTTTCACTATTTGAGCCTGATGAATCCTGGCATTGTCATCTTGGAAAATGCACGTGCCATCAGGGAAGACGGAATAACCTGGTCATTCAGGATATTCAGGTAGTCACCTGACCTCATTCTTGGAGCACATCCTGTTGCTGAACATAGACCTGACCAACTGCAGCAAGCCCAGATCATAGCACTGCCCCCACAGGCTTGTACAGTAGGCATGATGGGTGCATCACTTCATCTGCCTCTCTTCTATGTTTTCTCTGGGGTTGGATAACTTGTTGCCAGGTGAAAAATAATTGTCCGTGCAGTAATTATCCAATAGGAGGCTTCTAGCAGTTTGCTTAGTTAAGTCTAGGTGGTGATTTTTTTTTTTTTTTTTTTGGTCCAGGCAGTGCATAAAGGACTCTGGTCTTGTTGGATCTCAGTGCTGATTTTGACACAGTCTATCATAATATTCTCTTAGAAAGACTCGGATGTGTCGTAGGGATCAAATGAACAGCGCTAGGCTCATATCTGTCTGAATTCGGCTTGTTCGTGTAAACAAGAAATCTCATGTCCAGACCAGACTTGGAGAGACTCATTCATGCTTTTATTTCTAGTCAGCTGGACTACTGCAATGGTCTCCTTACTGGTCTTCCCAAAAAAGCTGTGAAGTAACCGCAGCTTCTTCAGAACGCTGCTGCTAGAGTCTTAACAAGAACTAACAGAACGGAGCACATCACTCCTGTTCTTAGATCTCTACACTGGTTACCAGTAAACCACAGAATATATTTCAAAGTGCTACTACTAGTTTATAAATCACTCAATGGCATGGGACCAAACTACATGTAAGACCTAATTCCTGTATATACACCCAATAGAGCTCTGAGATCCTTAGGAAACAATCAGCTAGTAGAACCTCGGGTCAGAAGCAAACAGAGCGAAGATGCTTTTAGCTACTATGCTGCTCACATTTGGAATCAGCTCTCCTTGGACCGCAGATCTGCCCCAACTCTAGTGTTGTTTAAAGCAAAACCTAAAACCCCAATGCACTCATCAGCCTTTGAATGAATTGTTTCTTATGCTGCATCGTCTCCACAGTAATCTGTGATGTAATTGCTCAACCTTAGTTCTGTCTTATCCTTTCAGCTCTAAATAATAATTTTATCTGTGTATTTTTTTATTTGCGTTCTCGTTGTTGTTGTTGTTGTTGTTGTTGTGCCATTTAATGCTAATTGTAAAGCACATTGAATTGCCCTGTGTTTGAAATGTGCGATATAAATAAAGCTGCCTTGCCTTACATTTATCCAAAAATCCTGATGAATACAGTACGTTCTGGATGACTCTAAACTTTCTGCTCTTAGATCCAGACATGAAGGAAATCTTTGGACTAGAACGTCTGAAAAGAAAACTGCTTAATCAATCACCTGATCTGAACAGCAGTACATTACTATCTCACAACAAAGTAAACAACCTTGGTGTTATCTTTGACCTGGACATGTAATTCAAAACCCACATTAATCGGGTTTGTAGGATTTCTGTCTCCAACCACCGGAATATTGCTGAGTATGTTCTGCTGGAGGCGTCTTCCTGCTAAAGAGGTGTTTATCCTCTCCACTGTTGCTACATGCTTGCTTAGTACTGTATGAGGGATTGTTGCTGAAAATATATCACAGGTGAGGTCAATTAATGCTAACAAAGGAGACACCAGAGACCCAGGAGGCTAGAGGAGCAGATCATGTGTTGTAGGTTAAATTGGGATGTTTGCTTTGTATAGCGCCTCGAGATAAATTGTGTTGTGAATTGGCGCAATATAAATGAACTGAACAAGATTAATTTTAGTTTGAATTAATTATGGGGTGTTTGTATTCAAGAGCCCCAGTGCTCAACCTTCTCATTTGTTTGTCTCACCACTACAGAGGCCCAGAAGGAACAAACCAAACACAAGTATTTCATTATAATCTGTCTCTCTTACAGGTTATTACGTGATTAATAAAGATCATTAGTGTTAGAATATCAGTCATTATGCTGAAAGTTCATTAAATGAAAGTCAAAACCTCAATAAAATCCAAATGTAATGGTTTTGAACTTAAAGGTGCATTATGTAGAAATGAAGTAAAGTGGCATCCTGTGGTAAAATTTGGTTACTGCAACCACTTTAAACAACTTTTGCCCGCTGTCATCAAATTACAAATGTCTGCGCTGCAGTATTAGCTCTCAGGAGACACGGCTACCCCACACTCACTGATGGTAAGCAGTAGTTACGTCCCTACTTCCTTTGTTTTGAAAGGAGAAAAACTGACAACCCCCACAGCCAGCTGGATATGAAATATGTTTCAGTATAACCTTCCTTCCAAAATGACTGAAACATTAGACTCTTATGGGATTTTCTCACAGTAAAATTCTCACTATATCCTTACATATTGCACCTTTAAATTGCAGTCTCTCTGTGTTTTATTATGCTATTAATGTGTCGTAAACGTATTTATTGATCTGAAAATATTTTTGCGCTCATGCAAAGCAAACAAGATTATAAAAGTATAAAGGTTTAACACCAATAGTTATTCAGATTCTCCGGCGTGTTAAATTACAGCACCGAAACCTGCCTTCACAAAGTAGTTAAATGTCCAAAAACAGAAATTGTACATTTGCAGTTGCAGAAAAAAAAACTGAAAATCTTCATATAATTCATCAACTTCATATATAAAATAGAATCCTAATTATAAACAACAAAGTGGGGCTGTCCTACACATCCAGTGTCCTAAATGCTGAAGAAAACAACGCATTTCAGGTACCAGAGCTGTTTCTCAGTAAGCACACACATGTCTGAATTACCTGGAAATGAGGATGGCAGAACACGGTCACCTGTCTCACATTAAGGTCTCCTCACCATCTTCATGCCGGAGTGGTGCAGCAGTGGATCAGCTGAGCTCTTCAGACCTCCAGCATCAGCAGCTGTCTGCAGCGCTGGATGGATGGAAGCTAACTCAGCTAACAACCAGCTGGCTAGCTCAGCACCCGGGTCATGTCTGGCTGCGGTCCGGTCCGCTGCGGCAGCGCGCGTCAAGCGAGCTGAATATGCACATCGGCTCTGGAAATGTCAAATGCCATGAAGATTAGCAGGGACGCACGAAGAGAGCTCCATCCTCCGCTGGCCCTGCTTCCTCTCTCTGCTCCTGATGCGCGAGACGTGCTGGTGTTGTGTCGAGATGCGTTACCCCGCAGTTATTAGTACCCTCGTCAAAATCGCTCACTTCACACTTGAAATTTAGCTTTTTTAACACTTTTGTTCTTAGGAAAAGCACTGAAATTAAAATAAGAAAAACCCATCTATCTTTGGCCACTTTAGTTAGTTATAGTATAAAGGAGGGTCTGGTTAAAGCTAGCTCTTTCCAGGTGAGGCGGCTATCAATATGGTGTATCGGTTAGAATACAGGATGAGGCTAGATGCGTCCTTTCATGTAGATCCAAATCTTTAATCTTGGTTGATGATCATCGTTAACAGCACTGACAACAGTTTTCTTGCATTAACATAATGCTGTCAACATCAACATGACTTGCAGGAGAACGAAGGAACACTCGTCTCACACCCACCAAAAAGGAAAAAAAAAAAAAAAAAAAGGAAAATTCTAGCGCTGGAAGTGAGCTCACTCTGAAAGGCTCTTCAAAATAAAAGCATGTCACTTCCTGAATTCCCACCAAAATAAAACCAACAACAAACAAATTTAACAAACAAAGGTAATATATAAATTCTGAACCTTTTACACAGCCGCCCCCAAATGTGTTAACGCATTTGCTATAATAAACATGTTAGTCATTATTTTGGGGCCTGTTTGATTGTTGGTTGTTCTTCTCCTGAAGGTAGTGATGGAAGAACTACCAATCTAGCAACCGGTCTGGTGTACACATGTCCTATGATGTCCACATCAGCAGACCTTATGCAGCCATCATCACTACGGTGGGTCTTAACGACATATCCAACAGGCCAAAAGGCTCGTGGCAACTGTGGGTCCACCAACATGGCAACTGTCTCCTTCAAGAGCTCAGGAGAAGAAGATTGCCATTTTAGTCTTGCCTGCAAGTTAGGAAGGTAGTCTTTGATGAACTTAACCCAGAACTGGTTGGCCAGGATCTGGGAGTGTCGCCAGCGTCTATGGCTGAGGTTCTCAGACTCCGGGTAAATTACTTGAGCCAATGACCCATCAGGCCGCCCCATCAGGAGACTATTGGGAGTCACTGGGTATGAATTTAGAGTTTAGGATGGATTCCACCTCCAGAAGGACAGTGAGAAGGACTTCTTCATGGATAGGCTGAGAGCTCACACAAACTCGCAGGGCTGATTTCACAGGACGTATTTCTCTTTCCCACACACTGCCAAAGTGAAGGGATCCTGGGGGATTAAACTGAAATGTTATCTGTCGCTTGGCAAGGTGTTGCCGCAGGTCATCAGCCATGTTTGAGAAAGCCTCTTTTAAGTTCTCTTTCTCCTCCTCTGAAGTTGGTTCCTTGATCTGACCACATTTCAGCAGGTGTTCTTTTTCTGGCAATGAACCTCCTCAGAGCCATGAGGAATGCATCAGTGTCTAGGCTACTCAGGAGCTCTAGACGCACAGCCCTCGTGGTCATACATTTAAAATGATTCCACATCTCTTCTCATGTCTTCTTCCTATCTTAACTTGCATCTGCCCAAAAAAGTCCACTCTGGTTGAATAAAAGGCTGGTTTAAACAATCTCAGCCGAGCAGGAGGTAGATCTGACATCTTTGGGACAGATGGTTGTCCCCTCCAAAATGACAGTCAGGGCATGTCCGCTGTTTGCGATTGCCTATCTTCCTCTGAGAATCCAGAATGACCTCCTTAACTCTGCCAGGACTCGCTCTGGACCTGGATGTTGTAGATCATGGTCATATCTTTGGATTAGTAACTCGGTAAAATGGTGTAAGGCGTCTAGGACAATAGGACGTAGGGTAGAGCTGTCCAGATCCTCTGAATGTCGTAAACGGCCACCCACTCCAATGAGGCCAGTAGACACTTCCAGTTCAGGAGCCAAAGTGAGTTAACGACTTCTGGAAAGAACAGGCTTCCCAGCTGCTAGGAGTCTGCATTCTTCTGGGAAAGACTGTTGCTGAGCTTGACGTAGAACTATAGTTTAAGCTTGTCGATACTCCTCAGCAGTCGGGGGAGTACTGGAAGGCGGTAGTCCGTGAAGATCACGTGCTGTTTCCTCCAAGAGTTCTTGCCAAGTTTTGTAAACTTTGTCTTCTGCACATGTAGGGGTCGATGAAGTATTCAATGTGCCACAGGAGACAGGCTTCCAGAGCTCAGATTTGTCTTCATTTGGTGCGGGGCTGGGCTTTGCTGGCCACTGGTCAGAACCCTGAAGGAGGATGGAGGGTCCATCGGACCACCGGTTTGGATCTATAAGTTCTCTGAGAGTCTTCCCTCTCGTTAGATCATCAGCTGGGTTACTTGCAGTATTCACATAGCGCCAGGTAAAGTTCTCTGTCAGTTCCTGGATTTCTGCAACTCTAGCCCCAACGGAGATCTTATAACGGGCATGACTGGGAGTTCAACCAAATAAGAACGGTGGTAGAGTCTGACCATAGAACAGTTCGCTTAACCACCACTGTGAGCTCCTTATTCAGGACACTTGCAAGTTGGGCTGCCACCAAAGCTGCACAGAGTTCGAGCTGTGGAATGGACAGGGGTCAATTGGGGGCTACTCTCTAACGAGCCATGATGAATGTAACTTATACCCGTTCATGGGCATCCTCAGTCCTCATGTATGCCACTGTGCCATAAGCTTGCTCTGATGCATCTGCAAAAATGTGCACCTCTTGGCTGACCTCTGCTGGATGGACATTGCACGGTGCATAGGCGCATGGGAAGGTTACGTGGGATAAGAACTTAAGCTCTTCTTCCCATTCAGTCCAAGCTTGAAGGAGTTTTGAAGGTAGGTTTGTATCATCCCAGCCGTGTTGCTTATCCCACAACTGCCTGAGGATGAGTTTAGCTTGAGTAGTGAAAGACAACAGATAACCCAGAGGATCATACTGTGAAGCCAAGACTGTAAATGTTTCTCAGGGTGGGCTTGTTGTAGGACACCGGCCTGTGTTTATAACCCAGTGAGTCTGACTTCCAATGCCAGCTGAGGCCAAGTGTTCCTTGAAGATACTTTAATGTTATGGAGGACTGTAACCGTCTGTTAACCAGTTCGCCCTTCATACTTTGAGCTGTTTCTTTTTCTACCACTCTTTCCTGTGGTCTGGCTGTCAAAGCCCTGACACCATGATTCATAATGAAGCCAGTCAGAGAGGTCATGCAGGGTGTAGGATTTCCCAGCTGTTTGAACTGGTGCCATTGAAAGTCAGCCCGTTATTCTGGAGGTAGCTTACCTAAGAGTCGAACTACATGTGACCCACAGTTAAGTTCTACTTGTCCATCCAGGCCTAAGGTTTGCAACAGGCCTACTAGGGACTGCACCTGGAGGGAGAACTTCTGGAAGGCTATTTGATCACCTCGCCTTATTTCAGGACCATCAAGAACACTTGCTATCTTTTTTAGGGCAAGCTGATGTGGTTGTCCAAATTTATCATGAAGAGCAGTCATGGTGTTAGTATAACGGTTGGGTGAGTTAAGATGTGTCGGCAATAAGCTTAGCTTCATCTAGTTTCAAATGGTCCACAAGAATTTGATATTTGAACAGCTCTGTAGCGTTAGAGGGCAGCAAATATTCGAGTGCAATACAAAGTCTTGCAGACTCACAGGGGTCTGAATGAATAAACTGGTATGGTAGGTTTAGGTCCTCTATACACTACCTCAACTATAGGCGAAATATCATCTCTGCAGGGGGGTTGCTGTGTTTGACTGGCACCTGTAGCTGTAAAAGAATGTTTGGTAGCTGAGGGCTTTCCAGAAAAGAAGTCTACGTTGGTTGGAGCCGGGTGGGAAGAGGATGGCAGGTAAGGTGCAAATGTAGGATGCATTACCTCGCTCTCCTTAGCAGGAGCCTCAAACTGGGCTGCATTCTGGGTAAGCTGGGCAGGCTTGTAGTGTGAAAGGGATGCACCTTTGAGAAGGGAAGATCGCTGGATTGGTTGAAAATCTTGATCCATGGCTTTGAGGTCATATAAGCTAAAGTTTTGGTCCTCAGGTTCTGGCCATGGTGGAGGGTCGGACCGCTCTTCGTCTTCTTCTTTCAGATCGGTGGTAGGAAAATGGCTCCTAGGTCTGTCCATGCTACCTTGTGATGGGGTATGAGGGGGATGTTGTGATGCAGCTAACTGATTCATGTCCATTCGCAGAGCGTGTGTGGCTTCGATCAGGGCTTTAATTTCAGTCCTCGCTTTATTCAGCTCCTTAAAACCATCTTTCAACTCCCTCTGTGCTTGAAGCAGCTGTGTTCTCTCTTCATGGGTTGCTCTAAGTTCTGCATGCAGAGACAAGGCTGATGGGGATTCCTGATAATAAGGAGTTATAGGTTCAAGGCAGGGATCTCTACTTATTTTACTCCACAGATGGCTTGGTCTCAACAGGAAGGGAGTACCGTGGGGGATATCTTTTTATAGCTACAGGGAGGAGTGAATGAAGCAGGTTGGCTTTGGCTGTGCTGAAGTTCAAGATTATTCTTCTGCTTAGAGGTGGCGGGAGATTCCACTGAGGTCTGTTTCAAGGAGAAGCTCCAGCGTAACTTACTTCAAACCCTTCAAATCTGCTGGGTCGGCTGATCTGTCGTTTAGGTCTCACAGTAGGATGCATCTCTTCATCTGGATCCATATTGATAGCCCTTATCCGGCTCGAAGGACCAGTGTAAAGGAGGGTTTGGTTAAAGCTAGCTCTTTCCAAAAGTATAAATCTCTGACGTTAAATTTTTTTTTTTACTGAGCCTTTGTCTTTTCTGACTGTGACAGCAATTATTTAACAATATTTTGATCATGGTGATCTTTACATACATACAAACCTCCACCACTACGAGCTCTTGCCAGTCCGCTATGTTTTTCCACGCAGGACCGTCCGCGTGGTTAGAAAACTTCCTAGGTGCGTGTTGCGGAAACTTTGGGCCACACGGAGAAGTTGCTGAAATAACAGAATTTGGACGCGCAGAAACGTGCGGACCTCGCAGACACGTCAAGCATAAACCAACCTTAACGCCAGGGGTGGACTGGGACCAAAATTCAGCCCTCGCATTTTTATGAACCGTCGGCCAAATTTACAGTGAGAAAATCCCAAGAGTCTAATGATTCCTTTTGGAAAGAAGGTTAGACTGAAACATATTTCATATCCAGCTGGCTGTGGGGGTTGTCAGTTTACCATCAGTGAGTGTGGTGTTGCTGTGTCTCCTGCGAGCTAATACTGCAGTGCCGACAATTGTAATTTGACGACAGCCGACAAAAAGCTCCAGTTGTTTAAAGTGGTTGCAGTAACCACATTTTACCACAGGATGCCATTTTGATTTCCTTTCTACATAATGCACCTTTAACTTACATTCCTGTAGGAAAGATAAAACTTTCAGATACTGGTGTGTTTATCTGTTATCAGATCAGATTACATTCTGATCAGAATTTCATGTTTGATTTTGAGGACTTCAGATGCTACTTAATAAACCAATGAACAAAGTGTGTGTGTGTGTGTGTGTGTGTGTGTGAGGGGGGTGATCCAGAATATTCTATAATTTTAGAAATGCATCATCACTACACACACCTTTACATGAAGTTCTACTTCATTTCAGCAAAGACAAGTAAAAGCATGAATGGCTGGAGATGCCCGGTATTGTTCTATCTGAGAAACGGTAACAAATCAGTCTGAGAAAACTTTTATTTCCATTCATTCAGATATATTTACATTTCCCAGCTTCTCCAGCATGTTTCCAGAGCATAAACTGCATTCCATAGTGGTGATACAAAGTACATTCAGCCAACACAATGCAAGGACTAGACCAGCGTAGTCCATGCAACAGGTTACCAGTATCCTTTCAAAATAAAACTGCACATGGTGCGACAATAATACTGACACTTTATTATGATGAGGGTAGGTAATGTGATGCATCTTATCTGCTGCTGAATTCAAGTTTGTTTGAGTATAAAATATAAGGATGTGCATGCATGCATTATACAAATTATTCATTCAGTTCCTTCAAAGAACACAAGGACTAGAAAGAAGTGCTCATCAAGCAGCACAGAAAAAAAAGTATTCATAACGTAAAACAAGAGGAAAAGACCAGCCAATCCTCCAAGAAGGAACTGTAAGTTTCATGTGTGACAATGACTCTAAACATCTTCTCAGTTTAAGGCGCTGCAAGGAGGAGAGTAACAGTAGGCTATGTGGAGTGTGAGGGTGCACTCCAGGCCTCTCTCTGCCTATGATATCCGGCTGTGACTAATGTCTGGAAAATCTGCTCTTTAAAGTGTTTTCTTCTTCTCCAGACACGTGGACTACCTGAAGGAGTGTCGAAAGTGCAAGCTCCTTCTTTTCAGCTTCTCTGGGTTGTGGGAGGCCATGTGGGAAAACTCCCTGAAGATGTCGATGTAGGTGGCGTCTCCTGTTGAAAAAAGCAACGGGAATCGTTGATGAAAGCCTCACAGGGACCTGGATGTTCAGTTACACTAACAAGGAATGAAAGCAAAAGAGGAAACCGTAGAAAACCAGTTGGGACACCATGAAGCACACGCTCTTTCAGCTTCACAAATACTGGGCTTTTACCGTTCTCGTTGTCATGGTAACCACTGACTCTTTTGTGTCTGCTAGAGCTCCCGGGCTCAGAAAGGAGCTGAACATTCCTGAGAGAGGAAAAGCTGCAGTGTTGTGCACAGCCAGACCTGATTACTACAAGCCAGAAGAGTTATAGTTATTCAACCTGTCTGCTGACATGAAGCAGGCTAACAGATCTCAAAAAGCAATACAACATGCACCGTGGGGGGTTGTAGAACCCTAAGAAGGCACTATACAAATACAGGCCAATTACCATTTACCATGTTCTAAGAAGGCATAGATGGCCTACATAGGAAAGTTCCAAGAAAAAGGCTTGTCTGAAAAAAAAAGCACGAAATATCATCATGATGATCCACCAGACCTTTGAGTAAATCTGCAGTGAACTGATGAGACAAAGCAGGAGTTTCTGGAAGTTGTTCCGTTCCATCTGGAGTGAAGCCATCAACATCACACCAATTATTAGACATGGTGGTAGTAGTGTTATGGTCTGGGGCTGTTCCACCTACTAAAACTGATGGAACCATACATTCTGCTCTCTAGCAGAATATCCTGAGAGAGAATGTGTGACCTTTGACTTTAAACAGACCGTTCATGCTGGAAAACTTTCAAATGTGGCTGAATTCCAACTATTCTGTAATGATAAGAACAGAAAAATCCTCCACAGTGGGGAGATACTAAAAACCAGATATCACACATCCAGTTGTTGCCTCCATGGTGTTACAAAAATACTTTAGGACATAATGGGTGTTTCTCAATGTCAAGGCGCCTGGCCTCGCGAGGCGATGTCTTGCGAGGCCGGGCACCTTGCTTACGAGGACAGTGTCCTTCCTTGGTCAAATAAAACGGTTAAATGGAACAGACTTGTATAACGTGACCACGTCTTCCACGGTGGTCATGTAACGTCACGTGACACGGGAGATAACGTTATATTTTACACGTATTAGTTTCAATATAAATATATAACGAGACTAACTTTTTTAATTGTGTATATGTTTATTAAATTAAAAATACGAGTGAGTTACTACCCGCTAGCCCCAGTTGCTGGAACTACTAAGCACCTAACCAACAATTGATAACATGTTTGGATCTAAAACAACATTTTAAATTAGCTGACTTACTTTTAAATTTGAATTTGTCTCTGAAGTAGCTGCCGGCTTCTGATCTGTCGTCCTTTTGAAAACACCGTGGTGTATTCTGAGTGATTTTTGACCAAGGCTAGGCTACAAGACACCTCCCATATATCCTCGCTCAGCTAGCTAAACGGCTAACAAACGGAGAGCACACGCCTCGGTAGAACATGAACTTTGGAACACGTCTTGGCGGCTCCCGATGACGAATCTCCTAGGCAACCGGGGCGGGGCCAAGACATCAAGGCAAGGTTCCTTGGCATTGAGAAACACCCAATGACTCAACCCTACACACATTCCTAGATTAAAGCTGTGTTATGGAATACAAAAGTTAACTATGTGGAAGGTAGTTGTAAGCCCTTTGAAACCATCATTCTCTCAAACAGTGGGCAAGCCTTCTCCAGCCACATCCAGCTACATTATGTAATACTGACAAAGCTCCTTAAAGGTGTGGATTACTTGTTTAATCAACACATTTGCAGTGGTCTCTAGTAGAGATGAATACCTTGCAGGTATTACGCAGGGCAGAAAAAGCCCACAAACCCCCGCCTCAGCTGATCTTCAGACGGCAGGTTTTGGAGTCCCATTTCCTGATATTGGGACATCTCACCTCAGATTGGATAACAGCGACGCGACCACGGACTTCCAACGTGGATGTTTCATCTCCACAAACACAAGCCTGGAGCAACTTCTGCTGTGAGGTTAAGTTGCTAACGCTAACGGTGAGTCGAGACATTCTCTGCTGTTTCCTGGAGGCTAAACCAAAAACAGCCTTCCTCGTCGAGAGTCAAGATGGGTGAGTCCATGAACATGAAGTGACAGTGTGACATAGATCTGTCAGGCTTTTCTAATCCTCAAGTTTCACTGTCTATTTTCTATCAGAAGCTAATGCAGGAGATAGGTGTAGGAGACTTATTTTCATGTTCAGCCTGCATCATTGGTCAACCAAACCTTTAAGGGTCCCAATACTCATGCACAGCCCTCTGTTTCTGTGGGGGAACATGTGCAGCTGGCTGTATGCAGGAGTCAAAGCACCGCTTGGTTAAATACAGAAATGTTAATCAATTGGGCTTGTTTTGAGTGAATACAAGGCAGTCAAAGGAAGTACAGGAGAGGTTAGAAATGAAGCACAGATGCAGAGAAATAAGTTAGTATTTAGTCACGTTCTGTTTATTTACAGCATTATTTTACACAGAACAGGGGAAAACAAGAAGGTTAATATGAACAGAAGGATATTATTTTACAGCAGATAAAGGTGGACCAAAAAAAGCCAGAGACAGGAAAAAAGACAAGAAAGTTTAAGAAAAATTATTTAGGTGAAGGGTTGTTAGTAGTTTTAGTTGTTATTTATTCCACAACCCTTTAATAGTTTATAATCGGTAGAAACCTGATTCAGTTTTAAAACCTGCTATGCTGCACACAGTGAGTAAAGGCTGCCTTCAGAGACTTCCAAAGGACTCCAGGTCTGTCTGATGAGAGAAGAGAAGAGATGAAGGAGCTGCTCTTCCTGTCACCACCGAGGCCTTCAAACTAAACAGGGACCGCATCAAAGTTTAGACAAGTGGGACTGGAAAAGTGGTTTACTTTGTCCAAGATGAGCTCATTTACAGCCACTGTGCATCAGGCGATCTGATGAGTCGCTGCACCAGTGCTCGGAGATCAGTTTGGGAAAAACTAGAAAGAAAATATTTCCTGTCCCTTTTGGTTTAAAATAAAAAAGCACCTTGCTTTAAATTAAGTATTTGATCCGTCTCTTCATCAATATAGAGAAACTCTTATGACATGTTTTGTTTCTTATAATAAAGGATGGAGAATGTAAATTTTATCCGCTACAAGGGCCCAAGAGCCGCACTTTGGACACCTCTACTAAAAATAGATGTTGTAAGGTGTGTTTCCTTAAATAAAGGCATGAATAATTAATATGTTACCTGTTGTAGATAGCCTCAGCTTAAGGAAATAGAGATTCCTTTTGACTGAATGGATGAGCTAATGGCTAGTCAGAGTGGTGCCAGTTACAGAGTTTGTACTGCCGTACACCAACTTCAAGAGAGTCAGAACTACTCTCTAATTCTCCAAACTGAGGATGTTCAAAGCACAACAACAGGTCGTTAATGGCTCATGACTTTTCCACAGAAACTCTTCAGAAGATCAGATGCTTCACTTTAACAATGGAGAACAAAACTCCTGGTGTTTAGAAATACAGATGAGAAAAGTAGCTTCAAAGGGATGAGATGAAAACAGAAATAGGTGTATGATGTTAAAACCGTGTTTTAGCTAGCTCTTTGGTTCAGACCAGCTGTTCTTTATCCTCCCAAACCCTCAAAGAGTCGAGTTTAAGTGTTAATCCTTTATTTCTTGACCAGTGCTTTCAGAGCTAAATCGTCAGTCGTGTTTATCATTTGACTTAGGCCCTGTCCACATGTAGCCGGGGATCTGCCAAAACGTAGATATTTTTCTACGTGTTGGCCTGTCATCCACACGAAAATGGAGTTTTTTCACACGAAAACGGATCTTTTTAATGACTCCGGCCAAAGTGAAGATCTGCATTTTCTCCGTTTTGGGTGTCTGCGTGTGGACAGACAAAACCGGAGTTTTAAGGTCCGCAACGTCACTTTCCGCAACAAAAAAATGCTGACATCACGTGTGCGACCTGTGTTTACACTAGCCGACAGCATGGATGCCCTCAGAGCTGCGCTCGCTTTATCAACTGTCCAAGCGCTTTTTGCTTGTTTGTTTTTGCAAGCGGAATTACTGCTCCTTGCGGAAGACCACAGACGAAGGACGAGGTTAAGAACGGGGGAAGTACTGCCGCCTACAGGTCTGGCATGTCCTTAACAACGTATTTATCCGGGTACGTGTGGACAGAGATTTTTTTTTAAACGAGGCGGTGTGGATGCAAGTTTTTGGAGGGGCGGACATTTGTTTTTAAAAAACCCGGCTACGTGTGGACTAGGCCTCAATAAAATCTGTTTTTGAATCCAGAGAATAGAATCAGCAGCTGGATGGGTTCAGACCAATGGCGCCCCAAGGGGTGGCCAGGGTTGGCCATGGCCACCCCTAGAAAATTGCTAGCCCCCCAGCGTAGCCAGTGTTAATATGTTCATTCAAACCATAAATTGATCTTATTTATTCAAGACATAATTGTAAATCGATCCCCAGTGAGTCGTGGTGGATGGCTGCTTATACTGAGCCAGGATCCTCTGGAGGTTTCTTCCTGTTACAAGGTAGTTTTCCTCTCCACTGTCGCTTTATGCTTGCTTAGTATGAGGATTGCTGTAGACTCGATGCAACCTGCTGGGTTCCTTATATAGGAAACTTTTTTTTTCTTTTCTGATTGGCTTAATGAACTGACCTGAATTGGAATGTTTATTATGTGAAGTGCCTTGAGATGACTCTTGTCGTGATTTGGCGCTATATAAATAAAATTGAATTGAATTGAATAAAAAAAAATAAAAATAATACAATTATTGAGTAAAGAAGTAATCAGAATTTAAAACTATGTTTCTGCTGCTCACCATTTAAAATAGTTTTTACCTCCATAGTTTTTTGAGAACACAGCATCTGGTGACTTAAACAAAAAAAAAACATTTAAAATTAAGATTTTAAATACATTTTTTAAATAACAAATGTATTTTTCTGAAATGTTTGTGTTTGTATAATTTAAGTTTAATGTTTTGGATATGTACTGTTTTCATGAATAAAGGACCAATTTGGTGTGCCACCCCAAAAATTTCTTTGGCCCCGTCTGGCCACCCCTACCATATTTTTCTGGGGGCGCCCCTGCTTCAGACTACAAAGGTCTGTGTGGTGGAAGAACAACTCTGAAGGCCTAAATCTCAAGCTCATCTCACCCTGACTGGACCTGATGACTAGCAGTCTGCTATGTGAAGGCAGATAAACTCCTGAATGCATCTCTTATACTGCTGCTCAGTGGGGCTGCTGACTGGGTATTGACCTGGCTGTCCGAAGGGTCCCTCCGACTCTCGCATCTCGTCGTTCATCCGGGCCAGACGCAGCCTGAGGAGAAGCACCAAGAGGAGGAGCTGAATACACACCAGACCCAGAGTGAATGGTTAGTTCTGGAGTTTAAACACATACAGTGTGACTATATCTGCATTGGCCTGTTGAACAGATATACTCAGAGGATCCTGGCCATCTTCATCACAGTCACTCTGTGTAGCTCCTCTTTTAAGGAACAAACACACTTGCCTGATTAAACAGAAAGACAGTCAGTCAGAGAGAAGACAAACAATTAAAGAGACAAAATGAGAGAAAAACAGGAAGTTACGGCTAGAATCAGGATATTTTAATCTCTGCAGAAACATGCTCCGCGGCAGCTCACCCTGTGTGTCCCAGATAGGTGGCATGATGCAGCGGACCCCTCCCTCGGGCATCTCTTTGGTTGACCTCAGCAGCGTTCTGGAGCAGGAACTCACAGCCAACCAGGGAACCCTGAATATAAACACGACAATTCAGCCTGGCTGCAAAAACTCTACATTTCTACAGACTGTGGCATTAAAAGCTTTTAGTGTAAATCTGACTCTGACCGTCCCTACATACATATCACCCCCACCCTTCTTTAACGGGATTTAAATCAGAAGACCTGACACCGTCAGTTAGTGCTGAGACTGAATGGTTGGTTTGGGTTGATCGCTGCACCTGAGATCACTAAAAGCAGACTTTTGAGCACCAGTCTGAAAACCTGACTAAATGCAGCATGCTTGTTGCTGATAACAGACTATTTTTATTACAGACCATGAACCTAGAAACAATCCACCCATCAGATCCAGGGAGTCTGATGTTGTCTTCTATTAAAGGGGCCTTTGTTGTGCCTGAGATCTGTGATTTTGGCCCACATTTTGACGTCTGGACATCCCTGGGTTAAAGGTGATGATTGTTTGACGTCCATCTCTTTGAAGAAGAAGAAAAAGAAAGTATCATTTCTATAGCGCCTCTAAAGATAAAAATCACGAGGCGCTTCACAAACACAAAAAATGTAAAAATGTAAAAAATAATTTAGATAGTGGTTAAATATATTTCAAATGAGCAAAAAATAGACAATTGTGATTAAAAAATGTAAAGAAAGGGAGAGAGAGAACAGAAAAGAGGGAAATCAGTGGATCCTGAGGAAGGTGGAATAGGTGGGAGAGCAGAATAAAGAGAGAGAGGTGAAGGAGGTCATACAAAAGCCAGCTTGAACAAGTGAGTCTTCAGCTGCTTTTTAAAGGAGACCACTGAGTCCACTGATCTCAGGCTCAGGGGGAGAGAGGTCCAGAGTCTGGGGGCCACAGCAGCAGATGATCTGTCACCTTTGACCTTTAGCCTGGTGCTGCACAACCAGTAGGCTTTGATCACTGGACCTCAGGGACCTGCTGGGGGTGTAGGGACTAAGAAGATCACCAATGTAAGATGGTGCTTGTCCATGTAAGGCCGTATAGACCAGAACCAGGATCTTGAAATGAACCCTGAAGTTGACTGGCAGCCAGTGAAGCTGGAGGAGAAGCGGGGTGATGTGGGTGTGTTTGGAGGACTTGGTCAGAAGCCGAGCACAGGCGTTCTGAACCACCTGTAGACGGTTCAGGGAGGTTCTGCTCAGACACGTGAAAAGAGAGTTACAGTAGTCTAAGCGTGAGGAGATGAAGGTGTGGAGAACTGTCTCAAGTTCAGAGCGGGACAGAATGGGACTCAGCTTAGCAACGTTCCTGAGATGGAAGAAGGAAGAGCGAACAAGAGAACTGACATGAGAATCCAGGGTGAGAGCTGGGTCAAAGGTCACGCCAAGATTCCTGACAGAAGGTTTGGTGTGAGAAGCAAGCTGACCAAGAGAGTCTCTGACTTTGGGAACCAGCTTGTCTGGGGCACAGATGAGGATCTCAGTCTTATCTTCATTCAGCTGAAGAAAGCTCCCAGCCATCCAGGTTTTGATAGAATCTAAGCAGGTGTGTAACAGCTGCAGCTTAGACATCTCATGGGGCTTAAAGGAGATGTACAGTTGGATGCCATCTACATAAAGATGGTAGGAGATTCCTTTGAAGGATCTCAGGATGTGCTGAAGAGGAAGCAAATAGAGGAGGAAGAGCAGAGGCCCCAGCACAGAACCTTGTGGGACACCATGGGTGGAGGACCTAAACTTGGAGATGGCCACAGAAAAGGAGCACTCAGAGAGATAAGAGGAGAACCACTGCAGAGCAGTTCCTGATGGGCCTACCCAGTCTCTCAGCCTCTCCAGTAGCAGGTGATGGTCAACAGTGTCAAAGGCTGCAGTCAGGTCCAGCAGGACCAGAACAGAACAGTCCCCTGCACCACTGTGAGTCAGAAGGTCATTAGAGACCCTAAGAAGAGCTGTTTCAGTAGAATGCGCTCTACGAAAACCTGACTGGAAGTTATCATAGATGTTATGTTCATCAAGAGCAGCTGTGAGTTGTTTAGGCACAACCTTTTCCAAGATCTTGGAGATGAACGGAAGTTTAGAGATGGGTCTGAAGCTGCTATGGAGAGAGGGGTCGAGACTCGTTTTTTAAGAAGTGGGTGGATTACAGCGTTCTTAAAGTAAGCAGGGACCTGACCAGAAACCAGAGAAGCATTAATTATAGAGAGCACGCTGGGACCGATGGACTGAAAAGCACTTTTAAACAAAGATGAGGGTAAGATGTGGAGGGGGCATGCAGAGGTCTTCATAGAGTTAACTAGTTTGGTTAACTCAGGCAAAGAAACAGGAGCAAAGCTATCTAGGATGATGGGCCTGGTTGGAGTCGGGAGAGGCAGCGATAAGGCTGAAGGAGAGATGCTAGATCTAACCTTATTGACTTTGTCCACAAAGAAAGACAGAAAGTTCTCACAGTCTGCAACAGAGTGGATGGAGGCTGTAGGAGAGGCAGGAGAGACGATGCTGCTGATGGTGTTAAACAGCACCTGTTTTTGTACGGGTAAAACTGGACAGTGAAGGGCTGTGAACCTGAAAGTGGAAGCAAACAGGGGAGGTTACAGGACTAACTCACCCCAATCACAGCCTGAATGAGAGGCGTCTTTCCTTCGTCTTCGTCGTTGACTAAATTCACATCAGCCCCGTGAGCCAGAGCCTCGGCCATGAGTGGCAGGTTGCGAACTTTTGAGGCTTTGTAGAGCAGCGCTCCAGGATCCACCTCCCTAACATCCTCTGGGTCAGACGTCTCGGGCTCCACCTCCAGCTCTGCTTCGCCGCTCGAGTCTTCGGATACCTCGCACTCTGCAGACAGCAGAAACAGAGAGGCTGTTCACAAAACAGAAAGGACACTTTGATCTGGTTCTTCTGCCTTCAGTCTGGACATACCCTCCTCTGTGACGCTGTCCACCACCGAGCCAAACACCAGGATGTCTGTGCTGCCGTCGGTGCTGCCTCCCAAACCGCTGTCACTGCTCAGGCCTGCCAACATGTACACGCTAAGCACCACTGTCAATTTAAGCCTGCTCTTAAGTCACATGCTGAGGCTGCACACACGAAAAAGTCTAAGGTTAAAGGTCATTCAGTTGCGAGTCACTCACTTCGAGGACCAGATCCGGTGTCAAAGTAGGAGAAGAGAGAATCCAGCTCATCGGGACAAAACAGAGACTCCCGCCTGAACTTGGCGGCTGCTGTGAGACACACAAACACCACAACCCAGATTGTCAAAATAAAAGCCCCTCCATAAACGGCTCCATAACCTCTGGCCTGCATCACACAAACACAGATGTGATGTACCGATGGAGAGGGTGGACGGGGACGTGCTGCTGGGCTCTCGCCTGTATCTCCTCTGGGTTTTGGGGACGGTGTTGACGCTGTTATGTCTCTGACACTTCTTAGCACTCCACCGCCGCTCCGCCTTCCTCCCCCCATTGATGAGGATCTCTGTGAAGCCCAGCTTCTTCAAGAATTTCCTCTCCACATACTTTGCCTTTATCCAGGCCTCTTTTTCTTGCCTGAAGACACATCTCAATGAGCCTCAAAGGGTGAGAGCATATTCAATCACCTTATTTTACTCATTCTTACCGTGAACTGGATGGTAGCGGCTTCTTCAGATCTTGTTCCTTGTAAGAACCTTCATAGATGTGGTTGATGACACTGTTTCCAAGCTCACACATCAACTGCAAAACATCAAAAGAGAAATCATATTTTTGGTACAAACACTGCTTACAACAGACTTCAGGTATATTGCAATATTTTTAGCTGTTTTCCTGCAGAAAGAACACAGAACACTAATAACAGGAGTAAGTCAAAGAAACTTTGAAGGGTGCCAAAAATGCCATTTTACCCAACATGGGTGACTAATGGTTAATGTGCTAAAAGCCGCGTTATATGTAGAGAAGCGTTCCAGTTCTGATGACTAAAGTCAGAGAACAGCTCTTGATTAAGGGAACGTTTCATGTGTAATTTGCATGTTTAAGTCAAAGCTGCAGAGCGAGAAAGTGGATTAAACTGGTGATGGTAGCAAACAGCACAGCGGCAAGTGGGCTTAAATTAGGCTCATCAGATCTGGTTTATCTGCAGCCTGCAGCCTTCTACAGATAAAACCATGGAAACAGTTCATTCCCGTTGGCTTTCCTTTAAGAAAAATTAAAAACACATTTTCAAAAGGAAGAGGTACCTTTAATAATTCTGGTTCCCATGAGTCGAGAGTGAGAGAGCGCACTTTTGAACAGTGAACTCCAAGACTCCTGCAACAGAAAGACTCTCAGTTAATAAGACTCCTTTTTTTATGGTTTAGCATTTGGCAAAAAAAAAAAAAAAAGTCAGATTAGATTCTGCTGGCACTAAAGCAGTACTATCCTGATGCTGTGGGGCGATCTGCTCTGATGCAAATCACTGTCTGGTATCCGAGGAACAGCTGTGTGTTTGGAGAAAACTGTACTGGGACAAAAGGGCATGTCTGTCCTCACCCGAACACGGAGCATGAATATTCAACAGGTGCTCAGAAACAGGAACAGCTGACTTTAGAGTCACAGACCAGTAGATAAGTACCGCTCTTTAATCCTGCAACAGCACGTGTGACAGGACGTGCTCACCTTCTTGACATGACTACAGATCCTCCCTTCAGAGTCAGCAGCGACAAGAGTCACCTTAACCTCACTCAAGCACAGACTGTTGTCATGCACTACTGCGGGTGACAGTTAAAGCAACACTAAAGAGTTTTCAACACTTTAAAGAGACTACGGCAAAGTTTTTCAGTAATCTCTAGAAATATTCATCAAAGCATTGTTGAAAATGAAAATGACGTCAAGTCTTTGAAAAATGTTGGTGGCTTCGTGACCATGAAGTACGAAGGTCTAAAGTACATAGTGTGTGTGTCTAACGCCTTGGGGAATGCCATATTAGAATCCACGTTTCCTTCTGGCCGGCTCGGGGTCCTGTGCCTGTTGATGACGTCACACTGGACGATTGGCTGGACGTACGATTTATGAAAGTTACGTTACCACGTTCAAAAACATTTAGGCAGTAAGAAACACAAATGTAATAACAAAACATATCTCAAAGAACAGAATCGAAAAAGAGATGCAATACATTTTGGCCGAGCGGTATTGCCGTAGTATGATGATGTCATTGGCAGGCGCAGGAAGCTGAGCAGCTCCGGAAACTGCAGCGCCAGAAAACTGGCATCGGCATTGCATTCTCTCGATGGAATTAACTGAAGGAGCATCAAAGTCCGAGGAGTCACGCCAAGGTTGCATGCTTTCTGCTCCACAGAGAACAACATTTACAGTCATTTCCTTAAACTAGCGACAGTCATGGCGATATGGTGTAAAACTACTACGAAATATACGCACTGCCCTCTAGCGCCTGGTTTCACAATTTTCCTGAGCCAGAAAGTTGAGACTTCAGATTAGACAGCCCTCTGTAGATCTCCGCTGACCAGAAACTCCACCTAACAGTTTTGTGGTGTGATAATGTGAAGGCTAGCAGTTAGCTTTTTCAGTTCCCTGGTCATCTAAAAATAAAATAAAACTAGAACTGCAAGCAGTTATGAACGGGTTCCAAGCCACCAGCGCCAGTCGCCCACCCGCCCCCGCCCTCAACTTCCCCACTCCTCACGCAGCCCCGCCCCAAAGACACATTCTCCCGCCGGCGTCCCGTCCTATTTTTAGGGTGCAACGAGACTGTTTTTCAGCCCTCTTTCTGAGGTGGTCTGCTTCAGGCTGACCAGGGCCAACACTCCCCCTGCTGACAGCATATTCACACCTTCCACTAGAGCAAGCCTCTGATTGGTGGGTAGGATCTCCCCACATGGGCTTATGGCATGCTCAATTCATTCTCATTCATTATCATGCTGATTACCTAGAACCTAAAAATGTCTCTGACTGCATTCCTTGCATACCTAAGCGAGGATGTGTGGAATCAACCGGGCTAAGCTGGGGCCATCTGGAGCTATCCGGGCAGGGTCGACCAGGTACAGATGGGAATGGCCCTAAAAGGTTGAAGGATCGATCCCAACTCTGACCAGAACGTGACATAAGCTCCAGCCTACCCAGTTAACACAACCTGAAAATCTTCGCCTCTTACATGCAAATAATGATTTTTGGGAAATTTTTCAAATTTGAAATTTTAAATGAGCATAAACCACGCCCACTTTGATCTATAATAATGACAACCACTAAGTTTCGTGCAGATCCATTCAGCCAGTTCAGCAGTATAATTTCTTCCTATTTATAGCGCCCCCTATTGTTGAATCAAGCTGAAAATCCATATATCCACATGAATTGACCTTAGGTATGGTGGTTATGAATAGCTTTGAAAAATGTCCAAATCTTTTGAAGATATGCTAAAAAATAGTTTCATTCCTCAAAAATTATTTTAAAAAATCATATAAAAACAAATAAGCAAATTAACCAAAATCCCTTCACATCGTTTGGTCAGCCGCTCCTTCTCTCTTGTCAGGGAAAGTAGTGCTGTGATTGTGTTGGACGGCTGGGAGGAGTTAACAAAAGTACGTTTGACTTACTATGCAAATTTCTACTAATTAGCATAAGTTTAAATTATGTTTTAAAATACTCTTCTAAATTTGACTGAATCAATGAACATACTGGATGAGACCATTTGTTTTTTTACAAATGTAATGGGGAGAAACATGCCGTAAACATTTTTGGGGTACAACAGCGCCATCTATTGGACAAAATTCTAATTTTTTTCTGTGATTGTAGATGTCACTAGGACTGATTTGATTTGTAACTTTCTGTACAGAATATATATTTTTCATGAGTAAAAGGGTGAAAACTTTTAAAGCCTATTTATAGCCTATAAGCCACGCCCACTTTTTAATCATTTTCGAAATATAGCGTAAGGGTCCAATGATAAACATATCTGCCAAGTTTGGTGGAAATCCATCAAGCCGTTTTGCTGAAACAAACTTTTTGAATCGTTAGCGCCCCCTATTGGTGAATCCAAACAAAATTGCGTAGATAGGGTTTACCGCTCATACTTTGTAAGGGTCTAGAGTCTCATCATTTTATCTTGAAAATTGTTGAAGATATAATCAATTAGGACATGTGCTAGCTAGCGCACTGAATTTGACATGGTGTCATTAACCCAATTTTCAATAATTCTGCGTTTTTCTTCATCACAACAACTTCTCTTCCTCCATAGATCATATGTTCAAAGGTTGAAGTTGATTCGACGAAAAATGAGGAATAGGTGATTAAAACTAAGTTTTGCGTTTTTTGAGATCTAGCAAAAAATCTAGTTAGGCGGAAATGGGCGTGGCCAATACAAAAAAGATGCAGAATCATCCAAGGATCATGTCCATAAAAAGTTTTTTGACTGTAGGGCCTATGGTTTGGGAGCTAGTAGCTCAAACGTATTCACCTCCGCAATAGCGCCACCTAGGTGACTCGGGGTCCAAATTTTCGAACCTGAGTAGCGGTCAGGATTTTCTATCAGACTGCCTTATCAGATTTTTCCTGGAAATTTCAGGCTCTTGCCCCCATACAGTATTAGCGGAGAAGAATAATAATGAAAAATCTGTAGAAAAAAATAGGGTTCCAATGCCCTTTGGGCTTGGAACCCTAATTAGAAGAAGAAGGATTTTGCTTTTCTGTAGGCTTCATGACAGAGCCTGGAAGTATGAGAGTTATGTCTTTGGATGCGAAGCAAAGAGCTAAACCCAGAGTGAATCTTGTGTGAGGGAACTAAAACAGGCTACGAAAGCTCAGACTTTGATGCTACTGGACTTGGGAGTAATAATGCTGCTTTGTCCAACAGTGTGGATCTTTTAATGTCATCGCTGATTTAGTATCAGCTGGCTCATGTTAGCGTTAGCTCTTTGTTAGCGCTAGCTACAGCAGGCTGCAGCAGGTTTGTTTTATTCTGCTTTCAACCAGTAGGAAGAAGAAGGAGGGAAACTTTAGCATTTTAAGTGATTCCCTCGCAACTGGAGGGTTGCAGGTTCATGCCCCACTCAGTCTGTATCCTTGGGCAAGGTATTTTACCCTCCTTGCCTGCTGGCGGTGGTCATAGGGACAGGTAAACAGTAATAAAGATGCTTTAGTGGCACCCTGAATAAAAGCCAAGGTTTCAATTAATATGCAGTATTCTTAGACCATTATCAGGTGTTCAAATTTAAGGTAATTACTGATAAGTGCTTTTTATCATGAAGGCAAATGTTTCTCTTTACCTGTGGATGCCAGAGCACTCGATACACAGCAAGATGCCCAGGTTGATCGAGGCCCAGCAGGGATTGGCCTGGCCACAGTCGCAGCATTGCTGGTTCCCCGGCAGACACTGGATGCGCTGCAGGATGGTCTCCCCCCTTGTGCCACGCTCCCGAGGCTCACTGGCTGAATCAATGCTGCTGGTGGATGGAGAGGCGGTTCTGTCCAGATGCTAAAGTTGGACACAACACACACTCTCTTAGGATAGCAGGCGTACACAGTCCATATGCAAATGTGTGTAAAATAAAATCTAAGCTTTTATAAACAGAGACACCCCAAAAATCAGCTGGAGATCAGAATCAGTGGGGACGTATGAGTGCCCTAATAATTCTAGGAGCTATGAGCTATGCCATCTAGGGGCTCCCATGACAAATCGGTACAAGGCGATACGCGAGGCAAGGCACGCTTCAAAAGATCTTTGATGAGACTGAAATCTCAGCCAGGAGGGTTTCTGGGATCCCCCCCTGGAGCCCGGCCAGCCCAAACCAGATACACGGGCTTGTCCACTTGTGGACCCACCACCAGCAGGAGGAACACGAACATCCTTCATGACAAACAGAGCCAGCTGAGGGTATTAAAGCATTTGGTCAGGATGTCTCCAAGGGAAGGTGTTTCAGTCATGTCCTGTTGGCAGGGGGCCCCCAGGTGGACCCAGGACATGCTGGAGGTATTATACTCTCTTTATACACTGGCAAGAGTTGGATGGTGGAGGTTTCTGGAGTAAGAGTGGTTCAGGCCTCTCTGCTGGGGCTGCGTCCCCTATGATCCGAACAAGAAAAAGACTTTGGACGGATGATCAATTGTTTTTCGTTGTTCTTGAAGAAAATCCCATTGACAGTCCTTTTTCTAATTATTTCAACAGATTATCATAACAATAAAATATCTGAATAACAGAAGTCATTAGAAAACCCCGATGTTAAATCTGAAGCACAAGAGGACATCGTCCTACCTGGTTCAAAAAGTCCTGCGTGAGACCCTCCCACAACCACCAGTTTGACAAGCATAGCTCAAAAGTTCTTCACAAACACTGCATCACACACATGCAGGGGCTGTAAAATGTTTCCATGACTCACTTCTATGTAGCAGGTGTCTGGGCTTTCTCTGTACGCTGAAGCAATGCTAGCTTGAACTGCCTGAATCCAAGCTTGTCTGAGCTTCTCCGACTCGGCCTGCAGCATGCAGCTCCTGTAAGACAGACACAGCACCGTCTCTTAAAACCACATTTAGTGCGCTGATGAGCAGGTGTTAGCTGCACGTTTGCCGTAAAGAAGCAGAGTCTCAAAAAAGAGATTCCAAAATCTTGTAATGAGATTTTTGAACTGAAAATATTCCCAACCAAACCCTGCTGAGTTTGCCGCAGGTTATGAATGTCCAGATCATTAAAATGTCTTATTTAGCAGTTAGCATCCAAATAACATTTAGCAGTGCATTTACACCTAGCTTTAGCATTTTAGTGTCAACGTTAACATGCCAAAGTGTGTTTACGTGTTAAATTCATTAACTATTTATTTTACCCTTTTTAGACGGCTTCCTGATCAGCCTCTGTTTGGAGAAGTAGAGTTAACGTTTTTAAGGACTGATGTGCTAACAGCTAGCGAGTACAGCCAAGCTCAAAGTGACTTGCTGGTGTCTTTGGTTTCAGTTTTTAATCCCGCGTTCACTCATTGTCTTTGACTCAATGTGGACTTTTGTCACAAACACACATCAAACCAAAACACACCCAGATGGACTTTCAGAATGAGCTTCATCAAAAACCTGTCATATCCAGTCTGCTGCCCTCTAGTGGAGGGCCTACAGATGACAAGGGCTCCTTTATTTTAACAATAAACAACACATTTTAAACCTTGGAGAGCTTGCAGGTCCATCACAGGTGCTTTTTATTTTTTACATCATTATGTTTTATTCTTTTCTTCCCTCTCATTGTGTTTGTTTTAACCTGTAGCACTTTGGGATTTAAATGTGCGTACATCAAAAATAACGTGTATTAAGATGACTAATTGCCAAAGCATTTCTGTGCGTGCCATTAGAACGGACTAAGAGGATGACCGTGTGCCTTACTTGAAAGGGGAGACGACCTCAAAGCAGAACCTCCTCTCCACATCTTCACACGGCTTAACAGAGCACAGTCGAAGGTCCTCCACTACCACCGTAAGGGAGTCCTGATAAAACAAGCACATCCTCTCATGCCCGTTCCCATCAGCAGCTACAAGACAGATTAACTCTGAGTGTTTTAATCTGACAGGAGCCTGACTGACATCCATCAGGGTTCTGCGGGTACCTCAAATCTCACGTTTAAAGTAAAACAATTAAAGCTGTTTGGACTTACCTTGAGCTTCTTCTGATAGACCAGCTGACTGTTCTGTATGGAGAACCATCGTCTGTAACAGAAGGGAACCATAAATAAAACATAATACAGAACCCTAAGTGGGTCCAACATGATGAGCAGTCTTATGCTGGTTTTCATCTCATTAAACACCCAGGACAAGTAGGTAGTGTCTCCTATAAAAGCTTAGAGATCTGGATCACTTTCATTCTAAAGTTAATGTAGTTTAAGTTTGCAGTTATGTTTATTTACCGCCCTTTCACCACGATAAGAGAACATCACTTTATATGCTTAGGAGTCTAGCTTTTGTTGTCCGAGTTCAAAATGAGCTCAAAAGCCTCAAGAACTAAAAATATAAAACTGAGTTAGACAAAAGCTGATTTATCCGTTTCATCAGCATCAACTTTTCATACCAGGATAAATTTGCCGTCTCTCAGCTAAATCTTCAATTCTTCTTCAAGGCACTCGCGGAGTACAGACGCTTCCCTCTTTTGCTCCCTTATCTTTTTTTCCCAAGGCTCTTTGTCCTGTCTGCCCACAGAGCGCTTCTCTGCATTTCTTCTGAAAAGCTATTTTTACTAACCATGGATCTGATAAACTGGTCATTCAATGCGATCGATAAGATTTTTTAAACAATGAGAACGGAGCAGGGGGCTCCCACATGTCCACAGGGGACACACCCGGTGGGGTATATGTTGGATTCCTGGAAGGAGTGGAAGATCATATGCCTCTCCCAGCTGTCCATTGAGGACATCGAAGACGTGTAGATATTCGACCTGATGATCACTGGATTCTCCTGATTGGAGTGGGAGGATATCTGGTTTTCTGGAAATTTGGGAAGACGGGAGGGATTGGAGGGCGACCTGCACCCACGGAAAGCACCATCCTTGTGGAGACTTCTCAGACTGGGACGTTACTCGAGGTGAATCGTAAGCTGGAAAATGTTCTAGCTGCGATACCGGTATTAGTGCGCAAAATGGATGTCATCTCGGAGAGAGTCACCGGACGGTATGGACAAGTTTAAAATCCTAAACTGGCTTCACTGAAGGACTGGAAATGATCAGTTTAAAGACTGAAGGCAGAGAGGAAAATTATCTCAGCCTGACCCAAACAAATTGTTGTTATCTGAATCTGACGCCCGAGCAGCCTTGAGAGGCCAGCAACAAACCCCCACAAAGGAATGCAGACAGATGCTGTGACACCCCCCCCCCCCCCCCCCTCAGATTGGTGGACTTCAGCCTGGCGAGGTCATCAATCTGTACTCCTTGCTTCTCCCAAGATCTCCCTCCCACCTGTGACTGTACAGTAGATGAGCGCCAGATGGCTGCTCTCGCTGGGGAAAACAGGATCCAAGCCCCCCCCCCGCCTTCCTATTGGAGTCTCATGTTATATTGTGTTGTCTGAAGTCTGTTGCATATCTGTTGAGGTGCTTTTTTGCAGAGCAAAGCTGCCCTCCTGGTGGAGGGTAACGCTGAAGTGCCTTTTTTCCCTCCACCTGAACCAATCCTCATGTAACCCTCTTATCTCTATTAAGGTAGCGTGACTCAGGGTTGCGAATGACCACAGTCACCAATTCTTGTCATGCGTCTTGCCCATGTATGTCTGCTCTCTGAATTGTGTGTACTGAAGCTCTAATTTCCCTCAGGGATTTATAAAGTACTGATTGATTGATTGATTGATCTTTTATCAACACTTCCTCATCAACATGTTTGTTTGTCTGACTTAAGAACATTCACTGTGCTGGGTGAATATTTCACACTCTGAGTGGAAAATCCTGCTTTTACATCAATTAATTATAACTTCTACACAGAAACAAACTTTAAAATATCACAAAAACAAATTCAGCGAACTCACAAGAAAGCAGACGTGACCGTGACAGACCCATAAACCTACAGAATGAGAGGTGGTGCTGACGACATCTACAATTAAAGAGTTTTATAGAATAACTGATTTTATACCTCCAGAGTTGTCTTAGAAAGGTTTGAGTGTTCTGTATAAAAAACAATGTAAAGGTTTTCATCAATAAGCATGGAGGAAGTTTTACCTATTCCAGGTCTTAAAGGCGTTGCTGGCCCTCTTGAACAGATAGCCTTCCATCACCACTCCGTTGGGAGCATCCACAATGAACTCCACCTTGGAGTCATCATACGAAAAGTCCTGCGAGAGACAAACACGTTCATCTTGGCTGTAACACAAAATTAAACCTTCTCACTGCAAAAATCTCTGAGGTTTGACATGACGAACAAAACGATCTTCTGCAGCGAAGAAAATATGACACACCTGCAGCATTGAGTGTGTGCCGGGCAATGTTCACAGCGCATAACCCTGACGATATTTTTAATCTGTCAGTTTATTTTCACTCACCCTGTTTCTGGAGGAGATTGTTGCTTTAATATTTAGACATGTCGTTATTTTCAGGACAGTCTGTTCAGCTGTAAATAGGTTTATACCTCCTACTCTGACAGAGCTGTCGCCCTGCTTCCTGGTCTGGAGAGTGGCCCTAGCCGCATTTAGCTGTGTGGATGGTTCCACAGATGTCCACTTTTACCGTATAACGATACGCTTTCTGACTGTGATAGACCCAAATAACTGTGACCACTCTTTTGTGTTTGGTGGGAATCTTAATATTCTATTATATTCAGAGATTTGAGCTGCATGGTAGCATTGTTCCATTTTTGGTTCTTTTTTGAAACACAGAAAAGGTTTCTCTTTACCTTGCTGACATAGACGACATACTGGAAATCATACCAAAAGGACAAACAGAAACACTAACACAACACTTGAATAACATTGATGACACAGGCAGCATAAAATTCATATATGAGTCAGAAACAGAAGGTAGTATAGCTTTTATGGACATGAAAATAAGCAGGCAGACCGACGGGACCCTAAACATAAACACATATAAAAAACCAACACACACAGACCAATATCTATTATGGACATCAGAACACCCTACCATACACAAAATGCCAGTAATCAGAACATTATATTACAGAGCAAACATGATAACAGAAGAAAGAGACCGTAAACAAGAGGACAAACATATACAACATGCTTTAAAGAGCAAGTCGCCCCCAAATAAACTTTTTTTTGCTGATTAACTAAATAAACGAGTGTCTAATCGTGCTGCAGACATGTGTAGTCAATAATTTGGCACTTCAGTGCATCTTAGTTAAAATTTAAAAATTCTGCCTAAAACTGACAGTGTTGTGCCGTCGTCAGGTAAAAACTCTGCACTGCATTTGAATTTAAATCTGCCACCGCTATTGGCTAAGAGGTATGCTATGATGTAAACTGGTACATTATGATGTCACAATGCTGTCGTGAGCCTGTGTGTGTGTGTGTATTTGTTAGCAGCTCCGCCCTCTCGGTCTGCCAGGCAACAGCACTTGTTGCATTTTTCAAACATGAAGTGAGAGTGGAGTTAGATTCTGGTAGGGGGTGACTTGCTCTTTAAACACGTGCGGATACCCGACATGGGCGATAAACAAAGGAAAAAAACAAACAACAACAGAAAGAAAAGAACAACCTAAGCAAAGAACCAGAAACCCAGAAAGACAAGAACCAAAACCAGTGATAACCCTACCATACATCAGAGGCATAACAGAAAAAATAAGAGCAACAATGAAAAAACACAACATAAACACACCAACAAAACCATACACAACATTTAGAAACAGACTAGTGCCGCCAAAAGACATGATACCAGCTGGACTTAAATGTGGAGTCGTTTACGAAATCCCATGCAAACTCTGCAATAAAACATACATAGGAGAAACCGGACGCCAACTCAACACACGAACAATAGAACACAGAAAGGAGTGCGAGAAAGAGGCAAGTCGAAAACACACAAGAGCAGCAAAAGAAGAAGCAGAAAGCACAATAAAAAAGTCAGCCGTAACAGATCACTGCTTAAGAGAAAACCATCTTTGGTGTGTTCTTGCTGTGTTGAAATTCTAATTCCATCTTTTAGTTCTTTTTAAAACACAGAAAGGTTTTATTTACCTACAACGTTTCGTCTGCGGCTGTCAAGATGGAAAGAGAAAACCACATAATGGACTGGGACAACACAAGGATCATAAACACCGAACAACAGAAATACAATAGATGGATAAAAGAAGCTATAGAGTTAAGGAGACGTGGATGTGGGACTATGAACAGAGACGATGGGGTTTATACGTTGGATCGTGCATGGGACTGCATCATCGGAGAGGGGAGAGCGGGCAGCAGAGGGCGACAACGTCCTCTGCTGCCCGCGGATAAACGGAGCAGGAAGTGACGCCACCATCAGCGTCAGCTCTGAGGAAGTTTGCAGACGCAAACAAAACTGTCAGCAAGGTAAAGAAAAAATTTCCTGTGTTTTAAAAAAGAACCAAAAACAGAATTGTAAGTCAAACACAGCAAGAACGTACCAAAGATGGTAGCATTGTTGCCTAACAGCAAGAAAGTTGCAGGTTTGAATCCTGGCTGCAGCCTTTTTACGTGGTCAGCATGCTCTCCCATGCATCAGTAGGTTTTTCTGCAGCTACTCCAGTTTCCTTCCACTGACCAATCAATAAAGCATCCAGGTTAAACTAAAGTGTCCCTAGGTGTGTGACTGGCGTTATGTCTCGTTTGTCTCTGGGTGTCCCCGTGACGGAGTTGTTTCCCCTGCCACAGTTTGCATTTAATTAGAACTTGTTTACTCTGAATTTAAGAAACCTGCAGCAGGACAATATCTAAATGATTGGTGCCCAACCTTTTTGGCCTCTAAAGTAAAGTAGACGAAGATGTTTAACCACACATATCACTGGTTAAACTCCACACTAAGTAAAAAGCAAGTACACCTGAACATTGAAAACACAAACAGCTTCAATTTGTGCTGATGTTCAAATTTTCTTTTGATTATGGTGAAACTTTGTTTTTCAGAAATGGGTTTTCAGCTTTTTTTTTTTTTTGGTTCTTGGAGTTTTTCACAGACTTTGACCCACAGTGTGGTTCTGATCCCTGCTTTAGGAACCCTTGATTTAAATCATACTTTACACATTTATTTCCGACTAGACTCAGTCGTACCATTTCGGTACATTCAGGCTTTGGTTTCTACCAGCTCAGTGGCCTAGTGGTAGAGTGTCCGCCCTGAGACTGGGAGATCAGGGTTCGATTCCTGGTCGGGTCATACCAAAGACTTTGAAAAAATGGGACCCAATGCCTCCCTGCTTGACACTCAGCATTAAGGGTTGGATTGGGGGGTTAAACCACCAAATGGATCCCGAGCGCGGCTGTGTCTGCAGCTCACCGCTCCCCCAGGGGATGGGTCAAATGCGGAGAACAAATTTCGCACACACACCTGTGTGTGTGACAACTAATGGGACTTTAACTTGAACTTACCTTTTTTTTAATATGAACAAGAAAATATTAAAAAAAAGAAGAAAAACACTAAGAGGCCCAAAAATTCCCTTTGTCTTCTTTCCTGTTTAATAATAACAAAGTAGACGTCCTTAGCTGCAGCTGCCTGCACACATTTTACTGCTTGTTTGAATAAAAGAACTCACTGTGTACCACAGCCACCTGCTGACCCCAGGCCAAGTACAACCCACCAAACCACTTCTTAGCAAACATCTACAGCCACAATGACTTCATAAAACATGGCCAACAATGTAAATCCACTCACCAAACTGTGGTCCCACTGGCAGAAAATCTTCATTTTCAAATGCTTGGCACGTTCCAGCAACATCGAAAATCAGCAAATGGATCAAAGAAACAGAAACGGAGTCCTCAGACCTGGAGCAGAGCCAGGTCTTCCTGTCCTCAGAGGAGCCCGATGCTTTCCGCGGCTGTAGCCCGGAGAGTAATTCCAACACTGACGTGAACGCCTTCCACTGCAGCCACATGCACTTGTGCTGCAGCGTGAGCCTCAGGATTATCACTAATTATCATACAGCTGCCACTGTGTCCACTGTAGGACCCGGTGAGGTCCACAGCACCGGGTTTCAGCACTTCACCTTCCCTTGATCCAAATAAACTACAAAGCTCAGAGTTGGATTCAGTGTTGAATTTGAGTCGCCACTCCTCCCCGGCTGAATGTGGGAATCTCTCCCCATGGTGACCAGCGGGGAATCTAGCTGGCAGGCGGCCAAGACACACCAAACAAAAACGTCTCTGGGCTTTGCTTCCACTGACGGGGACTCTGCCCACTTCAGTACCCGCATCCACTATGAAGGTGAAAATCATCAGCTCGCCGTCACCTTCTCTGTTATAGTGAAGCTCATCAGAAACAAGCTAAACAAGCAGTGGTGCTCTGAAAACTCAACTCGCAACACAGATTGTCCATATTTAATAATGCAACGGCACACTGACAGAAACCGCATGTCAGTGAATTATTGAACAAGCAGAGGACTTCAAACGTTTCAGGCCAAAGGATGAAAAGCTGTGGAGCAGAAGGCAGAAGCAGGCAGACGCGTCAGCATGTCCTGGTCCACCTGCTGCCGCCATCAGCCCAGCTGGCTGCAGTGATTGCTACGTCTGCTGTGAGGAGTTTGTTTAGCACCTGGAGGACCCTGCTGTCTCATTATCACCTCAGCTTTTATCCATCACAGTGGCAGACCTGTGACATCTGCTCGGTCACCTCCATCATCCCTCGTGTACCTGCTCATCTTCACGGTAAAACCACACTTCCAACACCAGCTCACCACGATGCACCCACCACATCAGCAGAGCGGACTAACCTAGCACATCACACGCCAGTTTAAATCCCGCAGTTGGTCTGGACCAACCAAAACCTCAACGTGTTTCCACGTCCAGTCAAGCCACACAGCGTGAGGTCATCGGTAGAAGCAGGGTCCTGAGCACATCTGGTACCTAAAGTGGCCTTGCTCGTCCATCAGGAACGTAGTGAGAAAGTTGAAACTGTAGCAAAACACGCCCCCTTGTGGCAGGCTGTACATTTTAGGCCCTTTGCATTTTTTTTGACTTAAATATAAAAACGCAACTCTGACAATTATTTGCAGGTGTTGATCCCTATTGAGGGCTGCACGGCGGCACGGTGTCTCGCAGCAAGGTTACAAGTTTGAATCCTGACTGTGGCCAATCTGCTTGAAGTTAGAATGTTTAACCCATTCATGTGAGGGGTGTCCTGCAGTTTGTGCTCATGTTTCTTCCCACAGGTCAAAAACCTACATACCAAGTCACCTAGAAACTCACAAACGTTCCTAGGTGGGAGTCTCAGTGTGTCTGTGTAATGGTTTGGAGACCTGTCCAAGTTGCCCCCCACCTTTTGCCCTTCTCGATGGCAGCTGGAGTCGGACACTATGCTCCCCGTCACTAGAGGTGGGAATTTAAACCGGTTCTTACTCAGAACTGGTTCCCACAGTTTCAATTCCAATGAATCGTTTGCAAAAGTGGCAAACGATTCTCTTATCAATTCCAGCTGAGTGACGTGACCACGCACACTACGTAGCTTATGCGTTTACTCAGCATGAAACACGGCGCCTAAGCAGCACAAACTCTCACAGGTTTAGTTATACTTTATAAGAAAGGATGAAGACAGAGCAACTTGAAACAGTCAAGACGATAAGTAGATATTTCATCAGAAGGAGGAAACACTACGAACATGCAAAATACACAATGACCTAATGTGAATGTTGTGTTTTTGACCCACTCTGGACTAGTTTGCACGTCCTCTTCTGTTAATACAGCAGATAACTCGTCAGCCACCACTGCCTATCATGTTAGCGCCGTTTGCCGTACACACCTCCACACTAGCAGCCTCCAGCGACAAAAGTCTGACCTGTGGTGAGATTTTGCTTACTTTGCAAAAGCTACAGAAAGAAGATGACTCTGCCTTCACAAGGAGCATAAAGTAGAACATTTGGAGAGATCTTTCCAACTGGTTCAACTGATAACTTATCATTAGCAGATGTAAACCAGAACACTACCGTAGGTCATTCATCCCCTCTGCAGTGAGAGTGTGTAACTTCCTCAGTTTAACTGGTACTGGCGTTATCCTGGTACACGGTAGCATCAATGTAATATTCAGTATGTGTTCCACACTTGTGCAATACCTGATGCACATTTGTATGTCCGTGTCCTTCATGCCTGCGATCGACTGGCTCTCTGTCCAGGGTGTACAACCGCTAGAGATAAGCATCAGCCCCCCCCCCCCCCCCGCAAACCTACATGGACAAGCGGATTCAGAAAATAGATGGATGGATGAATGTCTTTTTGTTTATTGTTTTTTGTGGTTGAAGGTTACAATAATAGCTTATTGCCTTTGTGTGTTTACCTGTACTCTTGTTTTTATTTGTCTTCTTCCCTTTCTCCAAGTGTTGGTGCTGCTGTAGCAAGGTACTTTCCCCACTGTGGGATTAATAAAGTCTATTCTATTGCACCTACTGAACTACTCAGGAATTAGACCGAATCGACAGTGGCATTGATATTGAAAACGTAACAATTCCCACCCCTACCTTTGACCCTAGTGAGGTTAAAGCAGTTTGGACAGTCAATTTATGTAGTTCTTGCTGCTGCCTTTTAAAACAGTAAAACATTCTCTAATATGTCGAGCTCTAATTAGTAAAAAAAAAAAAAAAACATGATTGTGTGCAGTGAGTGGGCGGGACCTTCAGCTTTCTGGCTGAATTTGATCACAAAGGAACCAGAATGAAATGCACAATTTATCTTTAAATGTGTTCATAAAGTGGCAGACCCGAAACTCTGGAGTGAGTTACCCTACAATGTACGTGCTTCACCATCGGTGACAGTTTTTAAGGTCAGGCTAAAGACTTATTCATTTGATCTGGCCTTTAGTCTGCTTCCAGTTTTCTTTTATTCGTGCAGTTTGCAAGTTATTTATATCTCTTTTTTATTCTTGTTTTTAAACATTGTCCTGTTTTTACTAATATTTGTCTGTAGAGCACTTTGCTGTCACCCCTGTGCCTGAAAGGTGCTTTAGAAATAAAGGTTGAGTAGAGTTTGAGTAAAAGAAAAAAAGTTGGGTGATTGGATAAATTTGATTTCAGGGTAAGTTATTTATTTCTGTTGCACTATTTGATATAATGCACATCTCTGGTGTACAGCAATGACTAAATTACAGAGGTGTGACCAAGTCACTGCTTTGCAAGTCACAAGTAAGTCACAAGTCTTTCCAGTCAAGTCTTGAGTCAAGTCCAAGTCGAGTCCAAAGTCAATGATGTGGAAGTCCAAAACAGGTCCAAGTCCTTAACTTTGAATTTTCAGGTCATAATCAAGTCATCTGTCCAACTTCAATTGAATGACAATGATAATAAATAAATTCCAGAAATGAAGCGTCTTAAAGCTTCATTTATTTGTGCTGCAGAACAAGATCAAACCCAGAACCAAGAATGATTTATGATTTTTGCCCGTGTCGCGCCACTTTTGTGCTAAAATATCAAATATGCTCAAGTCATCATCAAGTCAACAGATGCAAGTCAATTCAAGTCGCAAGTCATTGGCATTCAAGTCTGAGTCAAGTCGTAAGTCTTTATAGATTTTATAAAGTCAAGTCAGAAGTCATTAAAATAATGACTCGAGTCCAAGTCATGTGACTCGAGTCCACACCTCTGCTAAGTAACACAAAAAAGCAACACTCAGCCTCAAAATGTTCTGAGATTTGATTACAGCGCTCCGAAAACAGTTAAATTTTAATCCAGCAATGCAGACTGGCAGCAGGTAACAACTGCTCAGACGTCGTGATGGAAGCTCAGGAGCTGAAAGCTAACGACTAGAGTTCACCATTAGCAGTGGTTCAAATGAATGGGTCTGGGATTCAGGGGGGTGTTTTCAGTTCACTGTGCCAGCAGCAGCCAACGGCCGTAACCGCTGTTCCTTTGTCCGAGGAGCGTTTAAACACTGTTAGAGGCTGACTTGCAATACACATGAAAATAGGTCAGATTTTCAGTAAAAAAACTGGCAAGTGAAAACAATTTTATTTTTAAAAAATATTTTCAAAGTAAGCCAGATTAACTATGAGGTTCAAAAATGATAAAAAGACAGGAAAAACTAAATATCGATGCAGCTATACCCTTCAAATTCCTGAAGATAAAAAAACAAATAGGCAGGGAGTATTTTGCAGATGTTCTAAAGCAGTGTGACCACGGTGGGAAATGAAAGAGACTTACTCACCTGCACGAGCGTCTGCACGGAGACGGTGGTGCCGGCAAAACACAAAACACAAAACACACAGGAGAGGAATCAGTCTCGGTTAGCAAAACTGTTCAGTCAGGATAATAGGATCGTTTTTAAAGTTCAGAGCATCCCTGGTTATCGTTCGACAACAGGAAACACCCAAAACAGATCACAATTTCATTTTTTATTCAGGGAAAATCAACTTGCGTCTTTACTTATTTACAACCCCAGTGAAGGATGCGGTGTGATGTGTGTAACAGCTTCGACATTAACAGGCCACACATCTGACCCAGCCCTTCCCAGTGGGGCTGTCCACAGCACAAACCACGACGCCTGCAGGCAGAACACCGAGTGGATCCGTCTGACAGATGGTCACTGATCCAGGAGTGCAGCAGAGCCAGGGGCCGTACAGCAGACTGCTGATTTCTGAACTACTCAAGTTGGACGTGCCAGGCAGAATCCGCCCTACAACTGTCGGCTTCATTACTGAAACTACACCAGATTCACTCAGTTTACGGGGAACTTCTAACGTTTAAAACTCTAGAGCTAGTTTATTTCATAGCGTGTTTTAAGTACTGTTTTGTAGATAAGAGATCCGTGCTAACACAATGGCTAGTCTGAGTGGTTAAAAAGAGTTTCTGCTGATTTAAAACTAGTTTCATCTCAGACATATTCCTATGAGTGCTGTTTTATTAAGCCTATAAACTCACAAGATTATTTGAATAGGGTCATGTGGTTGTTTGCAGCAGAGATTAGCTGCAAAGCTAGCAGCGACTGCACTTTGGGCTGGAATATCCTAAAAATTCTGCATGGCAACAGAATGTGGATTTTGTGAAAATGTAAAATCTATAAAACAGCATTTAAAATAACTGTTAGGGAAACTCTGAGATGGATGTTTAACCAAGCTGAAAACAACTCTAATCTGCTTCTATAATCTGAACTCCCTCTAGCTAATGCAGTGCTCTCCGTTTAGCCACACCTCTAAAAGCACATAGGAACTTGCGAGTCAGCAGATTATGAGGCTAACGAATCTCTTTAAGTGTCAGCACGTGCTGCTATCCGTCTGCAGACGACAACAGTTGGATTAAACCTCCTAAAACACTTAGTTCCACCTGACTTACAGCTTAAATCAATGCCTCTGCATTGATAGAGATTAATCAAACACTTCCCAGCTGCACAGGTCTAATCCCTCCCCAGTCACAACAGATGCGCTGGACCAAGGGGTAAACCTGATCAGAGCAGTAGCACTCAGTAGCAACCTGCTTTAATCAGCTGACTGGGAATCCACTGGTTGTTTGCCAGTTAACTCGAACCAGATGAACTTCAGCTTGATCTGAACAGCAAAATAAGATTTTTATCCTAATCTTAAACTACTGGATATAGCTGTTTGGAAAGGAAATGAGGTGTGCAAAAGTCAAACTTCATTCAAAAATACTTTATTAATCCCAGAGGGAAATTGATTAAATTCATGTAAAATGAGGTAAAAAAAAAAAAAAAAGGAACACTGGCTGTGTTCGCTCTGCTTTCACAAAGCCACACGCTCACGTTTCATTTAAATCCAAACCCGTTCTCCTCTTTATTGATGCCCACCACACCGTCGGAGAGAAGGGCTGAACCAGTGTGGGGATTTAATGCAATCTGCTAATTTTCTTGGACATAAAATTGAATCGGACTAAATGGTTTATGGAGTGTGTGTGTAACACAGTAAAACATGTCGACTGCTGCTTTTATTGCAAAGGTTTTCAGTTCAGGTTAGGGGATTTTCACCTCTGGTGGTCATCTGGAACTGGATTGACTCCATAAGTCGATCAGTTGCAGATGTGTGTCCAGTCTTTCATTAAAAGTGGTCCATGTGATATTTTGCTGACAAGCAGGGTCGTCTCTGATGGGCAATGATGACCTTGTGAGCAAAGATGTGTAATTCTAGACACATGTAACGGATCTCTCATTGCATGATCTGTTAGAACCAAGTGTTAGCTGTGAAAGACACCTTTTAACTTCATGTCTGAGTGAGAATTCAGCAAATTAAAGTCCCATTCTTGCACTCTTAAGAAGACTGTAGGACTTTTCTACTTGTCTGTTTGTGGAGAGCTATACATATCTAAGAGACTGAACTCCAGATCAGACTGTCTTTGATGTCTGAATCATGACAAATGGAAATAAAACACATCCCAGAGGCATTTACTAGTAAAAACTCACCCTCTGCTGAATAGTAGCATGTTTATGTTCCATTTCCCTCTTCTCCATGGCTGAGTCAATCACCAGCTGGTCCAGCTAAAAGTCAGTTCACACAAACAAATGACAGACTAAATACGCTGTATTCACATAGCAGGGACATGACTCAGATATCTGCTGTAGAACTGAAGTGATTCCCAGCTACTGACCCTGAATCACTTCCAACTACCTGGCTCGATGTTAGCTGATGAATCTGAGTACCATCAGCACAGATTCCCCTGTGTTCTCTCCTCTCTGCTCTTCTCCCTGTACACCAACAGCTGCACCTCCAACCACGAGTCTGTCAAGCTTATCAAGTTTATAGACGACACCACGGTCATCGGACTAATCTGCGATGGGGATGAGTCCGTCTACAGAATGGAGGTCGAACGGCTGGTGTCCTCGTGCAGCTACAGCATCCTGGTGTTAAACACCCAGAAGACAGTGGAGGTTGTTGTGGACTTTAGGAAGCACACAGCGCCACTCCCTCCCATAACCCTGTCACGATGGTGGATTCATGTCGCTTGCTGGGCACCACCATCACCAAGGACCTCAAGTGGGAGCCCACCTTAACCTCCATCATAAAAAAGGCCCAGCAGAGGATGTACTTCTTGAGGTAGCTGAAGAGCACAGTTGATGAGGCAGTTCTACACCGCAGTCATCGAGCCCACCCTCACCTCTTCAATCACCGTGTGGTATGCTGGAGCCACCACCAGGGACGTGCAAAGACGGCAGCGTGACGTACGCTCTGCTGAGAAGGTCACTGGCTGCTACCTCCCCTCCATACAGGAGCTGTGCACCTCCAGGACATTGAGGCATGCAGGCCAGATCACAGCTGACCCGTAGGGCTGCCCCTCCAGTGGCTTGGTTTCAGTCACATGACCCTGTGATGTGTTTGTTTGTCAGCGCCTTGGGCTTCCTGACAGGGTTGCGGAAGGCGCTTTATAAATAAAGCTTTGATTGATTGATTGATTTGTACCTGAACTGATCCGCTCTGATCTCCACCTACGCTGTCCTGTTTTATGTTTATGTTTTATGTGCTTAGCAGACGCTTTTACCCAAAGCGACTTACAATTTTTTTTAACCTATAGGGCATGTTGTGATCTGTGGGGGAAACCGGAGTACCCGGAGGAAACCCACGCATGCATGGGGAGAACAAGCAACTCCACGCAGAAAGGCCGCAGCCGAGTTTCGAACCTGCGACCTTCGTGTTGCGAGGCAACAGTGCTAACCACTGCGCCACCATGCAGCCAGTCCTGTATATAGCAGCCGTTTCTCTAATTATTGCCACTTTATATTATTATTTTATCATGATTATTTTCTTACTTCCAATGTTTGCTTTTCTCTTATTTTTATCTTTCTTTTTGCACCAAGTACCGCAGAAATTTCCTAATGTTGGGATTTCTCGCACAAAAGGCAAAACCCTTCTGATTCTGATTCTGGTTTAGCATTGATTCAGTTATAAACTGAGGACTTAACAAAAACACACACACATTTTCTGACAGAAAGCTTTTTGTTCAAGGAATGTGAATGAAAGTTCTTCATTTCAAAGTTATGAGACACTTCGGGAGATAACTGAGATGACAGCCTGGCGGCAGGGATGCTAACGAAGCTACTTAACTCACCTCAGAAGCCAGTTTTTTCATGTACGGGTCAAGCTCGTCCAGCAGGTTGTAGCCCTGCTGGAACAGCGAGTACTGAGCTTGCATGAAGGACAGCATCTGTGTGGGAAACATCAGTGTTCAGATGAAGGACGCGGGTGCAGTAAAACACAAATGCATATATCTACTCACAGCATCTAGAATTTCAAACTTCTTCTTTGCTTGAAGGACATTAATCTGCAGATAAAAGCAAAAGCAGAAGCTTATTTATAAGGAAACAAGTCTCAGTTTAAATGGTCAATAGTAGAAATCTGTTGAGATGATTCCCTTAGAAAGAAATTCTTGGTTTAAAATTTCTGAAAGAGCAGCAACATCATGATGCCAGATGGGAGTACAGCCTCAAAGCTGCTCGTTTCCTTCAAACATCAACAGAAAACATTACCCTGGAGACATCTTCTGAGCTAAAGCTTTTCTACTGCAAGTGACCCCAACCTAAAAGACGTTGCATTAAAGTGTTCAGTTACATATAAAGCACATCTCCCTACAACTTTGACCGTCTCTGTCCAGAGACAACGAAAGTAAAGAATTAAAGGTGTGAAATGTTTGAGAAAAAGATGCTGACAACATGAAGGATGGAGGGAAGCTAGGGCCAACCCAGCAATCACTCTGAATCAGTCTCCTTTAGTTCCTGCAGGCTGTCCTCAGAAAGGTTAAAATCACCAACAAAACGGACTCAGACGGACTAAAGTGAAGGACGTGTCACACAGGAGGAGGAAGAAGGGACAGATGTTACTGAGGGCTAATGAGATACGTCACATTCATATAAAGATGTTATGGGGAAAATGATGAGGGATGTAAAAGTGAGACAGTTTGCTTCTATTTTAAGGAACCCCCCTTCTCCCCAATCTCTTCTTCACGACATTGATTCAGTTCACTGAGTTTTGCAGGCCTTTGTTTCTGCTCAGCGTTTCCATCAGCTTGAGGCTGGACATTAATCGGACCACTGCAACGCCCTAATTATGAGTTTAGATAATTCTTGTGTTTTATGACAGAAGTTTGGTCCAATCAGCTGCAGACAGATGGACTCACATCACACTCTAGACTACTTTGGTCTTCAGAGGAGATCTTGATGGACTATAAGGCTGCAAGGAGCCCAAACCATCAATCCTCCACCACCATGCTGACAGCGGAGCTGTTTGTACTGACACTATGGTTTTCACCAAACATGGTGCGGTGCCTTTTGGGTAAACATCTCTGCATCCTCTCAAGTATTTTAGGGCCGGTTACGTCACAGCAAGGCGACAAGCTCAAGGTGGCATTCAAAGAATACTTAGAGGATGTCTTCGTTTTACCAGAATTTCAACGGCAGGTTTTGTGTTTCCTTACTGGCAAAGGCTATCCCAGGATTAACTGCGGGCTGAATGGAAGTTTTTTGTTCTTGTAACAATGGTGGATGAAGCGGAAGAGGATTGCAGTTTAAATGTCCGTCCGTCCGTCCATCCATCCAATTTCATCCACTTATCCAGAGTCGGGTTGCGAGGGCAGTAGCCTAAGGCGAGAGGCCCAGACTTCCCTCTCCCCAGCCACTTGGGCCAGCTCCTCCAGGAGAATCCCAAGGCGTTCTCTGGCCAGGTAAGAGACATAGTCCCTGCAATGTGTCCTGGGTCTACTTTTAGGCCTCCTCCTGGTTGGACGTGCCTGGAAAACCTCACCAGGAAGACGTCCAGGAGGCATCCTGGCCAGATGCCTGAGCCACCTCAACTGGCTCCTCTCGATGTGGAGGAGCAGCGGGTCTACTCCGAGCCTCTCCTGAATGGCCGAGCTTCTCACCCTATCTCTAAAGCCTGATTCATGCTTCTCCGTCTGCGTCGGTGCGGAGACACGCAACGTCCTTGCGGGCCTGCTGGAGAGCTCCGCAAGGACGGATGGAGTCAAGCTCTCTTTTCAAAACATCCGTCAGTCGAGACGGACAACGCAAGCTTGTGATTGGTCAGGGCGCCGCTGTCGTCTACACCACCGCCATTGCGCCCTCAAAAACATAAAGAGAGCCGAGGATAACTAGCGGCAGACACGGAGCAGCTTGAAGAATACCTCGCGAAAAAACTCTAAAAACATGAACGTTTAATTCCCCTGTGACTGGAGGAGTGAAAAGATACGCAGCAAGCGTTTTATTTGTGGACGGAAATGACAGGAAAAGTGGGTTTAGAGGTGGCGAGCTCATGAAGAGGTGGAGGAGGATGAGAGACAAATTTGTCTGTGTTAAAAAGTCTCATATACAAAAAAACACAACATAAACACACTATCTTGGACCGGATACATGACAGGATACCACAGAACAGCGCTACACCCTCCGTTGTCCTGCCGGGGAATTGCTTTGCAACACTCTACAGGAGACGGAGAAGTATGAGAGCAAAACGCTTCTGTCAATCCGTGCGTGTCTGTCCCTTGTGGAGCTGACGGAGAAGCATGAATCAGGCTTTAGGGAGAGCCCAGCCACTCTTTGGAGAAAACTCATTTCGGCCGCTTGTATCCACAATCTCGTTCTTTCGGCCACTACCCATAGCTCATGACCATAGGTGAGGGTAGGAACGTAGATCGACCAGTAAATCGAGAACTTCACCTTCTGACTCAGCTCTCTCTTCACCACAACAGACCGGTACAACGCCTGCATCACTGCAGATGCAGCACTAATCTGCCCATCGATCTCATGCTCCAGGTTTCCCTCAATCGTGAACAAGACCCCAAGATACTTACAACTCCTCCACTTGGGGCAGGACCTCATCCCTGACCCGGAGAAGGCATTCTACCCTACCCGAATCAAGACCATGGTCTCAGATTAGAGGAGCTGATTCTCATCCCAGCTGCTTCACACTCGGCTGTGGACCGCTCCAGCAAAAGCTGAAGATCACGTTCTGATGAAGCCAACAGGACCACATCATCTGCAAAAAGCAGAGACCTGATCCTCAGGCCACCAAAACGGATGCCCTCCACACCTTGGCTGCACCTAGAAATCCTGTCCATAAAGGTTATGAACAGAATCGGTGACAAAGGGCAGCCTTGGTGGAGTCCAACTCTCACTGGGGACGAGCCCAACTTACTGCCGGCAATGCGGACCAAGCTCTGACACCGGTCATACAAGGACCTAACAGCCCGTATCAGAGGGCCTGGTACCCCATACTCCCGGAGTACCCCCCACAGGGCCCCCCGAGGGACGTGACCAAACGCCTTCTCCAAATCCACAAAACACATGTAGACTGGTTGGGCAAATTCCCACGCACCCACCATGACCCCCCTACGGGTATAGAGCTGGTCCAGTGTTCCACGGCCAGGTCGAAAACCACATTGCTCCTCCTGAATCTGAGGTTCAACAATCCGACGGACCCCCCTCTCCAGAACCTCTGAATAGACCTTACCAGGAAGGCTCAGGAGTGTGATCCCCCTGTAGTTGGAACACATCCTGCGGTCCCCCTTTTTAAATAAGGGGACCACCGCCCCGGTCTGCCAGTCCAGTGGGACTGCCCCCGATGTCCACGCAATATTGCAGAGCCGCGTCAGCCAACGCAGCCCCACAACATCCAGAGCCATAAGGAACTCCGGGCGGATCTCATCCACCCCTGGAGCCTTGCCACAGAGGAGCTTTTTAACCACCTCAGTGACCTCAGCACCAGAGATTTGAGAGGCCAACTCAAAGTCCCCAGACTCTGCTTCCTCACTGGAAGACGGGTCAGTGGAATTGAGGAGGTCTTCGAAGCACACCGTCCACACTATAGATAGTGTTGGTAGCGCACTGCCCCCCCCCCCCCCCCCCCCAGGAGACAGGAGACTCTGCCAGAGGTTCCCAGCAGACCCTCGCAATACGTTTGGGCCTGCCTGGTCTGACTGGCATCCTCCCCCACCATCTGAGCCAACTCACCACCAGGTAGTGGTCAGTTGACAGCTCGCCCCTCTCTTCACCCGAGTGTCCAAGACATGCGGCCGCAGGTCAGATGAAACAACAACAAAGTCGATCATCGAGCTGCGGCCTAAGGTATCCTGGTGCCAAGAGCACATATGGACACCTTTATGTCTGAACATGGTGTTCATTATGGACAATCCATGACTGGCACAGAAGTCCAATAACAAAACACCACTGAAATTCAGATCAGGGGGGCTGTTCCTCCCAACCACACCTCTTCAGGTCTCACTGTCGCTGCCCACGTGAGCGTTAAAGTCCCCCAGCAGAACGAGGGAGTCACTGGAAGGAGGGGGGGGGGGGGATCGGACTCATGCTAAGAAGAAGAAGAAGAAGAAGAAGAAAATATAATTTCTATAGCGCCTCTCAAGATAAAAATCACGAGGCGCTTAAGCATAATTCTGCGCACACGAAGACGCATAAGAGACCTGGATGATGAAGCTCAATGGTTAAAGGAATCACTGAAGCGGTGTGAAGCGGTGTGAAGCGCTCCGTCGCGCGTCTAGGCGGTACCGTAGGAGGCGAGCTGCCGTGGTTCACCGCATGCTACAGCAGCGAGCTATCTAGGTGCGCACAGCGTCCCCCGGTCCCCTCCCCCTTGTCCGGAACTCTACCTCACCAGTCTGAAGCAGCCACCCTGTCCGTAACAAGTCTGGACCTGTTACTAGGGGCTTCGTCCGGTTAAATTCCGGAACACGTTATCCGGATGTTTGTATTCAGACACAAAGGTCTTACGGACAGAGTCCAGAACATTTCCGTTTTTCATGGCCTGTCTGAAGGGGGCTTCAGTGGAAGCAACTCCAGAGTGGTAGAAAGTCCAACCCCTCTCAAGGAAACTGGTTCCAGAGCCAGAGCCATGCGTTGAGGTGAGTCCGACTACGAGTGGTGAGCCCATGGGAAGGGGGACCCACGTTTCCTCTTCGGGCTGTGCTCGGCCGGGCCCCATGGGTGAAAGCCCGGCCACCAGGCGCTCGCCAACGTGCCCCACTTCCAGGCCTGGCTCCAGAGGGAGGCCCTGGTGACCCACGTCCGGGGTTGGGAACACGGTTTCCATTTATATAATTCATCATAAGAGGTCTTTTTTGTTTATATATTTGTTGTTTTTTGTCAAATATAAGAACAAATCCTCGTAAATGAGCTCATACGGGGAGTCTTTTTGTATCACTGCTATGTTTAGTTTTAACTTCTGTTTGGCAGTGTGATGGTTGCTAGACGTGAGCCACATGCTGAGACGGGTGAGAATAAATATAAAGGCTAGACTGTCTAAATTCACAGCTGCTCATTTCTAGTCTTCTGGTCGAGGAAGGACCCAACCTATGTGAACCGTAGAGGCTGGGCCTTTAGAAGGATGCTACTCCTCAAACTGGACACAGCTCATCAGCAATGGTCTTTTGACTGGTCTTCCCAAAAAAACAGCTTATTCAGAATGCTGCTGCTAGAACCAAGAGAATCGAGCACATCACTCCTGTTCTAATACACTGGTTACCAGTAAACTACAGAATAGATTTCAAAGTGCTTCTACTAGATTCTAAATCACTCAATGGCATGGGGCCAGAATACATGTCAGATCTCCAAGTACATAAGCTCACCAGGTCTCTGAGATCTTTAGGAAACAGTCAGCTGGTAGAAACCCAGGTCAGAACCAAACAGGGTGAAGTTGCTTTCAGTTACTATGCTGCACACAGATGGAATCAGCTTCCTCATGGCCTCAAATGTGTCCCAACTCTAGTAACTTTTAATTCAAAATTGAAAACCAACATGTTTTCATCAGCCTTTAAATAAATATTCTTGTGCTGCACTTTCTGTATTTGCTCACGCTTTAACTGCGTTTCTTTTTAAGCTTTTAAATTGTATTTTCTGTCATGTTGATTTAATGTTCCTGCTATTCTTACTAATAGAAAGCACACTGAATTGCCTCTGTGTGCTATATAAATAAAGCTGCCTTGCCCTCTGTGTTCCAGAGGTTTGTGGTTCGTTCAGCAGTACAGTTGTTCAGTAGCTCACCACCATCACGTGCATGTGTGAGTGAATGGATGACTGTAATGTAAAGCACTTTGGAGTCCGCAGCCTCAGAAAGATTCTTTCCAAGTACAGGTCATTTATCCTTTTAAATCTTGCTGACCTGTAGCACGTAGTCCAGAGCGAGGTGTCTGAAGCACTTTCGAGTGATGATGAGAGCGCTGGTGGCTTCTTCGACCTCATGTGGCTTGTTCCTGGGAGCCTGAGCGTTCTTCACCTGGGCTATTTCCATGTCCTCACGAACCCTGTCGAAGTGCTTCTTGGTTTCTTTGAACTTCCGAACATCCCTGACACACACAGAGAGGCAACGTTTCAGCTCCACACGAATGACCAAAGACTAAAGCAGCAGCTGTCCACTACAGAACAGCCTCCTCCTAATGAAAGTGTGTCACGTCTCAGCAGGTGTTTTGCTCATGATTATACTTTTGTACTTAAATCAGTTTTACTAGGTCAGAGCAGACGTGCTTTAAGACACAACATGTCTGGGATACTCCTCCTGTTGTGTAGTTAACTATTGAATTTGTGTGTCTGATTACATGTGTGTAATTTTCCGGTTTGTGCTGAGATGTCTTCATAAGTGTGTGTACATATTTGTGAAAAACATTTTTCGATCTTCCTCCCTGCTCTCGGGTTTACTCACTCTTTCACAAAGTTGTGCAACTGCTGCTTCACCGATCGCTGAGCTTGATCGAACAGTATCTGTTAGAGGGAAGGAAAAACAAATGACTGCTTGTGGAGCACACCTCGACACACACAGAGGTTAAAGGCACGTCTGAGGTCAAACTTTAATGATATCGCCTAAGAGGACACGCTACATCTTTAAAAAAAAGTTATAACAGGTCTACAATATTTACAAAACATGCCATTGAAGTTCATCGCAAAAAAAAAGCTGTTGCTGGCCACGCCCACCCACCCCCTGATTGGGTGCTGTGAGGTGCAGAGCTTGGATATCCAGGAGGGGCTTAGAGCAGAGCTGCTACTCCTCCTGCAAAGGCAGTTGGGGGAGAATGCTAATCTTCTTTAGTGTGACATCACTGTGAAGGGGTGTTGCTTGTAAAAGAAAATGGTTAAAGGTTTAAATTCATGTCTGGGGGGTTTGTGGAGGCAGTAGAGACTCACCTGGCAACACAAACCTGTTCAACCTATCACCACAGTCAATGAGGCATTTCTACACCGCTATCATCGAGTCCACCCTCACCTCCTCCATCACCGTGTGGTACGCTGGAGCTACCACCAGGGACAAGAAGAGGCTGCAGCGTGTCGTGCGCTCTGCAGAGAAGGTCACTGGCTGCAAACTCCCCTCCATTCAAGATCTGTACACCTCTAGGACATAGAGGCGTGCAGGTCGGATAATAGCTGACTCGTGTCACCCGGGACACGGTCTCTTCGACTCGCTCCCATCTGGCAGAAGGCTCAGATCCATTCGGACCAGAACCTCTCGCCACAAAAACAGTTTCTTCCCCTCTGCAGTTGGACTTTTGAATGAAAATCCTAGGGCAGCCCACTCAAGTTGATTGGTCCCAGTCACGTGACCCGATGCTGTGCTTGAACCATTCAACAAACACTCAGATTAGTACCTACACGGAGTAGATAGCTGCTTCTCTAATTATTGCCACTTTTTACATTAATAATTTTATCATGAGTTTTTTATTAGTTCTTATATTTGCTTATCTCTTAATTAATGTTTTTCTATCTTACCTTCTGCACCAAAATACCGCAGCAATTTCCTAATGTTGTGACTTGGCACACATATGGCAATAAAAACTTTTGATTCTGATTCTGATTCCAAAAGGATGCCTAAAGTGAGATTTACGATGATATGTGCCCTTTGACGTTTTGATCAAATTTTCAACTTTTAGCACATTGTGTCTCAACTTCAGTGGCTGAAACAGAAAATGTGCTGCTTTCCATGAGGTGACCAAGCCTGGACTATGAGCAGTATGAGAACTTCTACCCAACTTCCCATATTTGATATTTAACAAAAAAAAATCACCAAAAAGTAAAAAAAATAAAAAATTAATCACATAAACACGGAAATGTCTAAATTAATCACTAAACTGAACCATATTAATTTGGAAGGAAACAACAGTGAACTTCTGGTAAAGCTGTTCATCTCTTGATCAACAGAGGGCGACAAACCACTTCATGTTCTCACAAGCTGAGTGAGACTAATGAATACTTCATCAGGCACTTAATGCTCTTTGAAATGAGTGGATGAGGGAACGCTGTGTTGATTTGAACACTCCCTCTCTAACACAATAACACATTGTTGTCTGATTTCCATTAAAAACTGCTCTTGTGCCCCCCGAACACGTCATCTGTGATCGCTGCTAAATAGGTCACTGGAGCGAGGGGGTGGGGGTGTGTGGAGAGGCTGTGGTACAATGCAGCACCGCAGTCGCATCTACTGCAGAACACAAGAAACGGTTAGAGCCCATCACTGGCACAAGGCCGGCGGGTTCAGACATCAGACGAAACCAGACAGAAATTTGAGTTTGATCCCATGTTTGTTTTCAGATTCAGACCCTCAGAATCAAATGTTTTATTTCGGTCCTTGCAGCAAAGACAATCTAGTGGACTTTTTTATTTCCTGATTTAGAATTTAAACTAATGGCGTGTCCCAGATGGAAGTGGTGAACTTTAGAAACCACAATGAGAGACATTTTTGTTCTTGTGGTGGGTAAAATGCCTTTTCCTGGTCTGTAAACCCACTGGCTCAACATAAACTTGAGACCAAAGCAAGAACGCAGCCACGCCATCCTGATGTCACGTTTGAAACCGCGCTCTCCGTTGTTGACTGTAGCAGACTGCCTTCTGCACCGTTAGGTAACAAGTGCAGGGTTTGACTGTCGATATGTGGCGAATTTCTTTCAGGATGCAGTTTAACAAGCTCTAAATGCAAGCGGCAACCGGTCATTTGGTCCCCACACATGGTGAGCCAGAACAAAATTAGCAGGGCCGCGGCGTGCAGCGACCATAAACACTCCCGCGTCAGATCAGTGTGAGCGTGGAGCAGACACGACAAAGGTGGTTGGTGGCAACCACACAGCTAGACCATCAGACTCCCCAGTGAGTCCACTGCTCACAGCATTCCTGAGCTACCTTAGGGTTAGCTGACACCACACTCTGATAGGGCAATGAGGGTGTCTCTGCACCACGTGAAGCAGCCAGACGGAAGTCAACAAGGTCAATGAGAATAGAATTTTAACTTAGTGCGAATGTGAAGTTTCTAAAAATAAACAAAGAAGTGTCTGTTTATTGAAAGCCTGCTGAAATATGCAACCAAGGACAGACTGTTGTCGGATCAGCTAAAGCAGGGGTGTCCAATCCTGGTCCTGGAGGGCCGGTAACCAGCAGGTTTTGTGGTTTTCTGCTTCAACATGCTTGATTAGCTGGTTGATTCACCTGTGCAGCAGCTCATCAGGCTCTGCAGAAGCCTGTTAATCACCTGCTGATTGAAATCAGGTGTGTTGAAGCAGGTTAAAACGAAAACGTGCTGGATACCGGCCCTCAAGGACCAGGATTGGACACCCCTGAGCTAAAGGTAATAAATGTCATTACCGTATTTTCTGGACTATAAGCCGCTACTTTTTTCCCACGCTTTGAACCGTGCGGCTTATAATGAGGTGCAGCTTTACTGAAGATCTTCCTTCACCTGCAGGGGGCGCTTTAGCAGAAAGTGAAACAGGTGGAGGTCAAAAGGAAATCAAAGAAAGTGCTCATTTTAATTTAGCACATGCAAGCAGCCGGCACGACAAAGAACTTGTTTCAAATCCATACCCCCTCATCATGGAAACTACACGTATGAGTTCATATGATGCTGCATTTAAGTTGAAGGCCATCGATCTGGCAGTAAAGGAGGGAAACAGTGCTGCCGCACGTAAGCTTGGCATGAATGAATCCATGGTTCGGCGCTGGAGACGGCAGCGGGAAGAACTCATTCAAGCCAGCTTCACCCGGAGATGATGACAGCAACACAGACAGTGACACCGACATCGCCACAGAAACGGTATGTGACGAAGCTCTTCTGAGGCTGTTCAACTCCGACACTGAAGAAGAAGACTTTAATGGCTTTAGTGCGCAGGAGGAAGATAAGTGCGAATGACTTCTTCTGGTAGGCAAGTGTGTTTAATTTACTAACCAGGCATGTTTAGTGTGCAGTTTTTATTTTCTAATCATCCAGGGCTTATTAATGCTGCGTCAGCGCTGTTCTTTTCTTCTAAACATGCAAATTGCCGGTAATAACGTGTTAGTTCTGTTTTTATTTTATAACCATCCAGAAATATGAATGCTATCAGCGCTGTTTTCTTTTCTAAACTTGCAGGCACGTTCACCCGTGTTTAAAATTCATTTTGTTGAATTAAAACAACAACGAAAAACCTCTGTGTAGCGTCTTTCTGTCTAATTATCTCATGTTATGGCCGTACATGCGCCGTGAGCCGGAGACCTGCATGTGGCTGCTGCGCCGCGGCTTGTATTCGAGTGCGGCGTGTGTGTGTGTGTGTGTGTAGAAAACCTTTTTTTGTTGTTGGTGTGGCTTATATTGAGGTGCGCTCTATAGTCCGGAAATTACGGTAGTCTTCAGTCCATCATTTAGTACATTAACGGTGACCTTAAACATCTCAGTCTCCTACAGCCTCAGAGTAAGCTGGGAGTCTATAATGGTCCCATGTAAAGGGCTGACCACTGTGCTCCACACACGTTTTCATGTTGAGTCATGCTGGCGTCTACAACATGTAGTTGTTAGGAGTGTGGGAGGAACCAATATGAAAAGGACAATTCATTATTATTAAAAATGCAACATCCCTCTGGAATTAATATGGCTAGGGTTAGAACTATAAAGACGTCAGGATGTGATCAAGAGGCGAATCGACAGCAAATGCATTCCATGCAGCTGCTCCCACAAGGACCTGAAAATTTACAGTTTTGAAGATGCCAGCTCACGTGATAAAGAGTACAGAAATATGGCATACTGTATCCAAACAGTCTGTGGTTTATTTTCTGGTCTCTTTACCTCGGCCACGAGGGTGTCACGGGCAATAACGTCTATTTTTTACCAGTTAAGCAACAGGAAACCTACACTGGTCTTATATTTTGAAAGATGCTCAATACTGCTCCCATGTTTGACTTCCTGTCTGGCCCAAACTAAACAGGTTCTGGAAAAGTAGCATGTAGAAAATAGACCAGGACCATGCATTTATCATAGTAACGCAACGCCTAACTCCTGTGATGCTCCGCGCTCGGTGGAAACACACCCACACTGCAACGGTGTCTATCGTCTGTGTATTATGCGTTGCACACGTTACGCAACGCTTATACGTCCAGAGGAAAGCCAGGGCTAATCTAACTACCAAACAGTTTTACACCAAATCAGACCTTCAGGAACGAGATTTAATCCTCCTGCAGCGGGAAGAGGATAACAGCGACCAAATCCTGGGAGGGAAGATCGAGGGTTTGATTTGTAAACTGGCTTACATTAATGAAGATGGTTTTCTTTTTTTCTTTTCTCACTGGGAGCTAAAATAATGTCTATAGCTAAGATTCAGCCCTGTCGCATACTCAAAGTACAAACAAGTTACACTTGAAACTATTCCATAAAACGTGGCGCTCTGAGGAGACAACATCTCTGATTCAAGAACAAAGAACACAAGCTGGAAGATCGCGATTCCTTCTGCAAGCGGAAGAGCACTTCCACTGGG